TGTATGTAATCGTTTAATGAGTAATATAATGCTCAGTAAATATTATTTAATAGATCTTTTAAATTTATTTATAGATAATTCCAGTAGGTATTAAAAAATAGGGGTTGGTGATAGAAGGGTGAAAATTTTGGCTTGTATTTTTTTTAAATGCCACATTATAAAATAATAAAAAAACAATATTTAGAGTTATAAAAATTAGTTATAAAGCTATTCTTAGATCTACTGAATATACTCTAATATCTTAAACATATATAACTCAAAGGTGACTGACATAGTGATCTATCAACGCACAGCCCAAACCACTGGACAGATCGGGGTGAAATTTGGCATACAAGTAGATATTATGACGTAGGCATCCGCTAAGAAAGGATTTTGATTAATTCCACCCCTAAAGGGATATATTAACGCGAGCGAAGCCACGGGCAAAAGCTAGTGATTTCATAAAAATCGGTCAAGCCGCTTCAGAGGACTATAAACACGAAATCTGCGACATAAGAATTTTATATATTAGATATATATGCAATGAGACTGGCATGTACTTTTAGTTCGTACAGTCTCTAAAATTTCAAAGAAATATAAAAACTATCGAGTTTATTATTATTATAGAATCTGTCTTTTTCTCGGTTATCTCCATTAAGCTGACTGTTAAAAGTTAACATTAAATAGTTACGATCCCCTCGAGGCGTGTCACCATTTAACTAATAAACAGTTGCATTGTGCCGTACTTTCGTGTGTTTTATTGATATTTTTGTTTGTAGATACAAACTAAATTAATAACTGTACTTACTTTATTTAATATAATATATTTATTATTATATTACTTATTTTTTTTTACTAGCTTTGTCCGCGTGAATGAAAAAAAATGTTTGCCATCATCTTGGTATAAAAAAATATAATTTACTAGCAGACACGAGCAACTTCATTTGCATCACACTTACTTGATATTATATTTCGCTCAATTTACATTACAAATTATAGCCTATATGTTATCCCGATAATCAGAGTAACAAACATCAATTCATACTCACAAACTTTCGCGTTTATGATATTAGTAAGTTATAATTATAAAGACAATCTCCGGTATCGGGGGGGAAGGGTATTGTCAGTAATGTGGACTAATGATCCCATTGCTAGCAATGTACCATGTCAGATCGACCTCCACGCGGTTCCCCCTGGAAACCATCGTGATACATTCCCGGTGAATTTGTCACGTTGGGCTAACTGATCTGACTTCATGTTCATCTTATCATCCTCCACTGGTGCCCCGCCAGCGTAAACCGTTAGCGCAGGCGGGTGCACCATTCCATTATCATCATTTAAAAAAAAAATCTCCGGTATCGGGGGGGAAAGGGAATTGTTAGGAATGTGGACTCATTACCCCATTACTAGCAATGTACCATGTCAGGTTGACCTCCTCGCGGTTCCCCCTGGAAACCATCGTGATAAGTTCGTGGTGAGGTTGTCACGATGGGCTAACTAACTCATGTTCATCTTATCATCCTCCACTGGTGCCCCGCCAGCGTAAACCGTTAGCGCAGGCGGCTGCACCATTCCATTATCATCTATAAAAAAAAAAATCTCCGGTATCGTACTAGGTCCAAAGGCTAAAATATCCTATAGGTGAATCTTTGATTTGATGTAATTTAATTAAATTTCTCCATAACATTTGCAGCATTGCCACGCTAAATTGCTAGAGAAATCTTTTGAGCCAGATACGATCCGGAACGGGTATTTATACACATCATCATCTGCTTCTTCCTTATCCCATTTATTTTGGGTCGGCGTAATATGTTTTTCGCTTCCATTCATCTCTGTTCGCAGTCATCGCGTTATTAACTTCTTTTCTTACCATATCATCTTTCACACAGTCCATCCATCTCTTTTTCGGCCTTCCTCTGCCCTTATAACCATCCAGATTAATATGTAACACCTTTCTTAAAATATTATCCTCATTCCTACGCATTACATGTCCATACCATGATAGACGATTACTCTTCAACCTCTCCGACACCGGTGCCACTTTCTTACTTCCTCTAATGTATTCATTCTTTATCTTATCCATTCTTGTCACACCACACATCCATCTCAACATTCTCATTTCAGTTGCATGCAGTCGTCTTTCATCCTGACCATACAAGACAGCAGACCGGATCATGGTCTTATAAATTTTTCCCTTAAGCTTAAGGGTATTTATACACAAATATATAAAAAACAGTATATGAAAACTTTATATCCCGCTATCCATATTTATTCGCTCTTAAACTAAAGCTTACCAAATTTAATGCAACTATTTACAGCAAGCATTTTAATAGTAAATATATAGAAATGAGAACCTTCCAGAAATAAACTTTGTAAGTGTAATATCAGATCATAAGATTGGGAATTTTAAAAATGTTTAACAACCCATAAAAATTTATGTCTACACCGCCGACTGTTTATATTGTTTATATTTGTTGCCACACTCGGACACACCCACCACAGAGTTTCGCGTCATAGAGTATAGATGCAAACAATCACTTTTTTTAATAATAATGGAATGCTACACCTGCCTGCGTAAACAGATTCTTTCTATCTATACTAATATTATAAAACTGAAGAGTTTATTTGTTTGAACGGGCTAATCTCAGGAACTACTGGTTCGAATTGAAAAATTCTTTTTGTGTTAGATAGTGCATTTATCGGTGAATACTTTAAGCTATATAACATTACGCTACGACCAATAGGAGCAGAGCTACAATGAAAAACATTGCAATAGGTGGGGAAATGAAACGCAGACGAAGTTGCGCGGGTCAAAAAGTGGATGATAATGGAATAGTGCACTCTCCTGCGCTAACGGTTTACGCTGGCGGGCCACCAGTGTAGGATGATAAGGTGGACATGAAGTCGGGTCAGTTAGCTAAAATTCGCCATGAATTTATCATGATGGTTTCCAGGGGAACCTCGGGGAGGTCAACCTGATATGGTTCATTGCTAGAAAAGGTGTTATTAGTCCACATTACTAACAATACCTTTCGCCCCCTGCGTTAACGGTTTACGCTGGCGGGGCACCAGTGGAGGATTACAAAATTAAAATGGTGTGAAGTCAGTTAGTCCAGTGTTAAGTCAGTTAGTCCAGTATTAAGTCAGTCCATCTTGGGAAATGATAGTTTACTATCAATAGAGTTTATTCGATCAAATTACTAACAATCCCCTTCCCGTAGACTTTCAGTTCGGTCATCACCATCATACAATGCTGAGTACTGTTCTCTACACATTTTCTTCAAAACTGTCAATGTTACTTTACTGCCTAAAATAATAAAATGATATCTCAGGACAATTAATACAACTCTATCTAGTACTAAGCAGAACATGTGTTATGGGTACTAGACAACTGATAGAAATACTTTATATGTATTTTTTTTGTAAATGCATACATTATATACATAGAAAAAACCCAGACCGATACAAGCAATCATATGAAAACAAATATTTGTACAGTGCTAAACCGCTAGACTTCCAAGGCCGTCAAATTATTAAAAAACAAACTTAAATATTAACTCTATTGAAAATTGATATGGACACAGTATTATACCGTCTATTTTGAATCTGGCAGCGCGTCGAATTCGTTATCTCATCCAGTTTATAAGCAAACACTCGCTTTCCCACGCACGATAAAGCTGAGTGCTTTTTGAACGGCGATAAAGCTCGTACCAACTTTGAAAGTGAAAAGGTATTCGTGAACTGGGCCACATTGTGGCTTCTGTCAATATTGTATTAGTAGGCAGTTAGATATGAACTTACAAGTTGTGAAACGCGATTAGAACATAATGTATTAGATTATTTATTTTTGTTATGTTATCTAAGCTTTTTAAAGTTTATATACTGTGGAGTTATTTAGGTACTTAAATAGTTTGCAATTTTTTGCTAGAATACAAAACATATGACGGCCTTGGTTTAGCACACCGCTTTACTTCTGATGGTAAGAGGTTCGATTCCTCGCACGGTGCAAACATTTGTATCTGGGTATTTTCTATGTATATTAACGAAAAAAATATCTAAGTATTTATATCAGTTGTCTAGTATACATAACACACGCTCTGCTTACGGTAGGACTAAATGGGACTGTATTAATTGTCCAGAGTTATTTATTTCTTATTGCATCGAAACGTAAACGAAAATATTAAACAAATACTAGAGTTATATATATTTTTCCCCATCCGTAAAATTTATTCAAGATTTTATTAAATAGTTTATAAAAGTAAATTTTATATATATCGTATTATCTAGTACCAAGATAAGCAGAGTTTGTACCTACTATATGTAAACACGTAAACCAATTCCAAAAATTGAATAGAAATATATAAAATCTTTATTCATATAATAATATATATGCATATGCGCCAAAAACTGTGTTACGACAAACAAACACACAAGTTACATTTTTATAATAATATTGTAAAGATGGAAAGTTTGTGTTTTTGGATATTTTGATAATCTACGATATTACTTATACAATTGTTTAGATTTTAACGTACATCGTAACTTTATGGTACATTAGAGCCGGAGCTGTAAAAAAAAATAAAGTAGAAACTGTGTAAATGCGAACACAGGCGAAGTTAGTTGGACGGCTAGTATTATCTTATATATAAAATTCTCGTGTCACAGTTTTCGTTCCCATACTCCTCCGAAACGGCTTGACCGATTCTCATGAAATTTTGTGAGCGTATAAAAATAGATATTGGCCGATTCTCAGACCTACTCAAGGTCTGAGAATCGGCCAACATCTATTGTTCAATCCCCCAAATGTTAGGGGTAGTCCACCCCTAATTTTTATTTTATTTTAAGGTAAAACAACTTTTGTCGGTACAGCTAGTATATTATACGTTTAGCCTACAATATAGAAATCAAATTTGTGCTCAAATCTCTCTCCATCATAATATTAATATAGATTACCTAATATAGACTTTGTTCAAAGTCGCATAAAGACGTACAATCATTAATTATCAAATTTCACGTTTCAGATATACGCTGATAGCTTACTACGACATGTACACGCAGATATACACCACCACCAAGATCTGGATACAGCTGCTGTTAATATGGATTGTCTCTTTTGGCTTTATGGTAAGTGGTATAATTTTTTATCTATTATAGTAATATCAACTGCATTTACTGGTAAATGTAGGGATTCACACAACACAATCACTAGTTATGATGACGATTCAGGCTTATAAAAATTCCCTCCTCTCTTGCAGAGATGCGTGGGGTTATACGCGACTAGTTTAACGATACCGAGTAATAATGGAACTACCTTCTTTTGGTATTGAGTGTTAGAATCAAAATATGAATATTCAAAAGTGCTTGTTGAATTGAAATTCAAATGAGTTTATTTGAATAAAGATTATTTCTATTTCTATCTTTATCTCCATCTCCATCTCCATCTACATCTGCATCTCCATATCTATCACTATCTCTATCTCCATATCTATCACTATATGTATCTCCATCTCCATCTCCACCTCCATCTCCACCTCCATCTCCATCTCTATCTCTATTTCTATATCTATTTCTATTTTAATATTTTTAAATTATCGGATTTTTCTCCAATATCGAGGTGAACTCTAACAATGACAATTAAGTACTAGGTAACTATCTTTTTATTAAAAAAAGTGGTAACAAATAATAATAATAATACCCCTGGACTATTCACACAGCATTGGGGGAAGGGGGTTGTCAGTAATGAGAACTGTTGACTGTTGAGCTTTTTATGTATAACTAGCTGTGCCCGCGATTTCATCTGCGTGAAATTCATAGCCTATATGTTATTCTGATGTATAAGCTATATTGCTGTAAAGTTTCATCAAAATCAAAACATCTACCCTACACGCAGTGGTCAAACGGTTAGCACACCGCCCTACTTCCAATGGTAGCGGTTTCGATTCCTGGCACGGTACAAAAATTTGTATTCATGACTATGATTGTTTGTATTCATCTTACAGCGCGTTTTTTATTTATACCACTCATGCGTTACCATTCATGAGGACAAAGATGTTATACCTCTATTACCTTTATTCTTACCTTTCAATCAATACAGTGTACAAAGTATAAGAAATATTCAAAATTGTAGTTTTTATACCCTTTCTTCGATTTTTTTACTTTTAATAAAAGTAAATGTATTCAATAATATTTTTTAATAAAAAGATTAATTCATCATTTTTTTTTATCATGTAAGAAGTTATTAATATTAATTTGAATTTTAATCAAATATAATTCCTACATTTTCATTAACAATTCTGAAATTACATGGGAAGGTAAGTGTTATTAAATAAGTTAATACTGAATAAAAAGTATGTGAATAAAATAAGTGAAATACCAATGCAGATAGAGTTTAGAAAAACTCTACCAGCGTTAAAACCCCACTTTTATGAAAGTAGGTAAAATTGTAACAGTGTGTTATGAGATATGTTATTTCGTTGAAACATGATTATCAAACAATGACCATAGTGTAATACACACTGTATTTAAATATAATATTCGTGGAAACATCTGATTAAATATAACATCCTTACTAATATTATAAACGCCAAAGTAACTGTATCTGTCTGTCGCGCTTCCACGCTAAAACTACTGAACCAATTTAAATGAAATTTGGTACACAGATGGTTTAAACACTTAGAAAGGATATAGGCTACTTTTTAATGCGAAAAAGGTTGTAAGGGATTGAAAGGGGGGGATGAAAGGTTGTATGAAAGTATCGAAATTTTTAAAACTTAAGAAACTTATTTTTTAGGCTGTTGATTAAATATAAAAAATATGACATTCAAAGTTTGTAAAAGTTTTACCCCTAAAATAATAAGTTAGTATGGAAATTGAAACACTGCAAATATCTTACGTATTTATGTTGTGTCTTATTTATAAAACAATTAACATATATAATTAAAAATACTGTCCAAGGTCACTAATCCACACGGACAAAGTCGCGGGAACAGTTAGTTCGTGTATAGAAATAGTGCGCAGGCGCAGAGATGTAGCGGTTATTAAACAAATAAACGGCATCACTGTGGAGGAAACTGGAATTAGTTCATTGCACTTCCATATTTATAATTCCCGCCTAATTGTCTCGAATTAGGGTACATCCTCCTCTGCACCTACCAGTAGCTATTGGGTTTTAAGTTATAAGCGGCAGCGACTTGCTAACGAGGATAAATATAGACAGAAATATTAATTTAATTATGTAATTATTTGATGTATATTATATTATATATGTATGTATATATATGTAAATTTGTGTATTATATTGTAGTACTTAATTTCTTGAAATCTATTTCTGTGTACGTTCGTATGTATTATATTCCTTTAAGTACTCATGCCATGTAGTAAAGCATTCTTCGATAAATGACAGTAATATAGATATAGAAAAACAATTTTTAATATATGTAAAATACTACAAGAATATTCTAAGTATATATGTAATATATATATAATATACTAGAAAAAGGCAGGCAAACCACCTGAATCGAACCGATTTCGGAACGTGTGGCAGTGTATATATATAATGTCACATGTTTGTACGTTTACGTAAAACACATATATGTATATGTGTTTTATTGACTTTAAAAACATCAACATACATCTAAGCTATAAGTTTGTACCGTAATACCTACATCAGATCATAACTCATGCCATGAAACTATAAAATAAATGTGAACCATTGTTCTCTAGCGTCAAATATTCCGTATTTTAATGAAGACTATTAAGTAGCGAGGAGGTACCTCAGGGCAATTACACGGCTATTTGGACCCGAGCAACTTTAGTGTAGTTTAGTCCAGTTGTTGATGCATTTACGTTAGGGTTGTCTCGTAAACAAAAAATATGACTACAAAATAATATAAAATTGATTAAACTATCGAAGAAAAGTCTTATAGGAAAACTAAGAAAAACACAAAAGTCCTAATTGGATCATATAATTGTATCGAGTCAACTGACTTACTAAATTACTAAAGTTCGTATTAGTAAATTTAACCTAGTTTTAAATCTAGTTGTAAACAGTGAATAACGACCCTAACAAAAGAATCCTAGGGACGATAGTGCATCAGATTACACACACGATATAGAAATGTTGACAATGATTTTGACTATAATGAACCCAGAACCTAAGAGAAGTATTAGTGAGACGGAAGGATCAAACTCCCGGTCCTTCTTCTCTGTCTTCTTCTGCAAGACTTCCTCGCAGATGGATCTTACATTAGTGTCATCCCTAATATAAATGCATCACAGTTAGATACGAGTTACGAGGCCCAACGCAACACGCACGACAGTTACGGCCGGTCGCATTATTCATTGGTCGTGTGCTGGTGGTCTCCTACCGACTACCGGATACTCATTATATTCATAACACTATTGTATGTCATAATTATAATACTATTTATGACATTATTAATTAAAAATCTTTATAAATATATTATTGTATGTTTAATTATATGGAAGCGTCTTTTCCTGCAGTCGAAAGAATCGTAATCGAAATCTAAAATATTTTAATCTGTCTATCTAAATTCAAATTTGTTTATTTCTATTTTTATTTTTCAATTCTATCTGTTTGATACCTTTTCAGGACTGAAAGTCTCAATGGAGTTTAAAATAAATGTTACCTAAAATTAATGTAGAGATTGCATTTCCCAATTGTATCACGATTACAGAGTCCCGCAACTCCCTCCGATCGATCCCCAGTCCAATTCAAACGGGGATCGAAATTACGACGGCCTGAGTCGAGGTTCGAACCCCTAGTGGTGCCCTCAGACTAAAGTCGTATCCGTCAGGCAGGAGTTGGCCTTCAGCCGCTCCAGTCCTTCCGCGGGTTTGGAGTGCCATCTGCACTCGCCCCCTAACCTCCGGTGAAGCTGTAAAGGCCAGCTGCGGTCAACAGCATTAGAGTAGTCTTAAAAAAATAAAAAAAAAGAGTCCCGAGGATCTCGGGTATTTTCGATATCTCGGGTAGTATAAAAATATTGTTTAAATCGGATAACCAAAAGAAGGGGACACGTATATTCTAGTCTATGTCAAAAAAATCTGATCTGAATCTGGAATGGATGGCGACCAATGGTATAACTACAGGGTGGCAAGTCGGCAAAATGCCACGGGCCCTCAGCCGGAAAAGGCCACCGGTCTGAGAAGATCCCAACTCCCAACATTTATTAATACACATTTAGTAAAAAAAATGTTTTGTCTTTATATATACCACTGGCCTCGAACGCTATAGTTACGCCTCTCAGCGACAACTGGTATTTTATATATGTCTACAAATGTTTTTTTTATATATGTAAATATATATGATATAAAACCAGGAAGTTTTGCGTTTTACACATCCGGCCATGTTCGAAGAAATGAATTTGTAATGAAAGGTGACGCTTCAAAGGAGAGTCACTTTTAAATATGTTACCACTGACTTATCGTAGAATTACATATTTATTATGATTCCATACGATTGCACTGTTTGCAATACTTACTCACTTATTCTTTCTTGGAAAACCCTAAGGCGGTGTTTCCCAACCGTTGTACATTACAAACATACATTTTTTTAAAGAAATAAACATTTTTCATTATTTAAATTATTAATCGGGACTTAATACGACTAATTTTATGACAAATAAAGGTATTACCTCTCTCGACATTTCGACTAGGTTGCACTAGCCGTGGTCACCAGCTGACGAGTAACAGCGATGTCAATGTAGATAGGTGACAGCAGTTTTTTCATCTACCGTGACTAGATTGTTCAACGAAAGTTCGCGACACTCAGCACGTACGGTATCCGTACACTTATTGACTGTTGATGCTACCGAACTTTGCTTTATTTGACCATTTTTCATGTTCATACATAATTTATAACATTAAAAAATTAAAATTCAAATAATAATAGGTTTTAGGATGAAATAACTAGGAAATTGTTAATGTAAGTAAATCAAAGCATATAATGAAAAACTTGTCCCTAACAAGATATACAAAAACAATATAGATAAGAAAAAATGAACATTAAGAACAAATTGCCCCCTCTTAATTGGGACTAGATGGCGCTATGTGGTTTGTGCAGGGCCATTAGTATTATTATCAACTAATTTAAAAAAAATATGAGATTCCGTTTGAAAATTATATATTTTTATATAGTTTTCAAACAGAATCTCACTCTACATATATCTTCGTCAATTGTGGATCGATTTTTTATTATTTTGTTTGTACTATCCTTTTGTTCTTGTGAAAATAAAACAAATAGTTTGTAAAGGATCTTGTATTTTCTCTCCAATGATTCAGCTCAGAATGTAAAATTTAAAATTCGATAGCTTTATGTTCTTTTTTTTTAAAGTAATAAAATACATTGTAGCAAAGAGGTTGCATACATATATAAATAACAATATCTAACTTCTTAGACATTTCCCCTCACCAAGAACATTTAGTGCAAAAATGTTATTCAGAATTATTTCTGTACTATAACCAATGGCGGATCCAGGGGGGTGGGAGAAGATGGCGATGTACGTGTATATGTTCAAGTTATTAAGTGTTACGCTTTTTAAGTGTACAATAAAGAATAAATATTTTTAAGTACAGTACTTACGTACATTAATAAAATACCTATTTTTTACTTGTATTGTTATCAAAACTAAATTATAAGTTCTTGACTTGACCACGACTATGTGACCCTCTCCTGGCGCCAAAGCTGGATCCGGCCTCGACTATAACCACAGATAATATAATATTACATATTATAACGAAGTGAATAAGAATACCATTACAAACGTACTAATACTAATTAACAATTTGAAATATTATCTGGCTGTATGCAATTAATTATTTAATATTGATAATGTTAACGTAATGATAATTGGATAAATTGAGACCCTTAATTAATATTCGTAGATAGCGTCACTAGTAGTCACTACATACAACTGCAGTGTTTTATAGCTCCCGCGACTTCGTCTGGGTGGAATTTAACTTTATTTTTCTAAAATAAAAGAATTTTTCTTAAATAAAAGTGGCCTAAGGTAGTCATTATTACATCAGCTATCTGCCAAAAAAAGTCCCGTCAAAATCGGTCCAGCCATTTCAGAGATTAGCCGGAATAAACAGACAGACAGACAAAAATTGTATAAAATGATATTTTGGTTATATACCATATTTAGGTATATTCATATGCATATAGTAAAAAAACGGTTATTTCAATATTACAAACAGACACTCCAAATTTATTTATATGTACAGATGTATAGATGAAGTAACTACTGCTGTCTGTGCGCTGATATCTTTTAAATTACGCAACGGATTTTAATGCACTTATCAGCAATAGATAGAAAGATTCAAGAGGAATGTTTATATGTATAATACATGCGTGTTATAATCTATACTAATATTAAAAAAGCTGTAGAGTTTGTTTGTTTGAACGCGCTAGTCTCAGGAACTACTGGTTCGAATTGAAAAATTATTGTTGTGTTGGATAGTCTATGTGTCGATGAAGACTTTAAGCTATACAACATTACGCTGTAATGAAAAATATTGCAAGAGGCGGGGAAATAAATAATAAATTCATGGTGAATTTGCCACAACGACCTAACTGACCGGACCTCATGTTCACCCTGTCATTCTCCAATGGTGTCCCGCCAGCGTAAACCGTTAACACAGGCGGGTGCAACATTCCATTATTATCCATAAGAAAAAACATACATCAGTGAAAACTTCATTCAAACCAGTTAAGTCGTTTCTGGGATTCGTTACCGCAATCACACAGACAAACTGACAAAAAATCTAACTGTTTTGTAGTACAGACTCTAGTTTACGTTTTTATTGTATTGTTTTATTATTATTATTATTTTATAAGGGAAACCTAGTACATATATGTTGGTATCTGTCTTGCCTAACTGTCCAATGTTATTTACGTGTAAAAACCTGCTAAAAATTAGAAATTAGTAAATAACTAAACTTAATGAATGAATGAAACTGTTTATTGTTCCTCTCACAGAATGTAAAGTAATAATAAAATTATTTAAAAGAGCAACACGCAAGTTTCTTGCTCGTTCTTCTTGTGATGAGACAGCTTTCCGAACGAGCGGTAGATTAAAAAAATGTAATGACTATTCAAAAGTGCTTCAATGTAAGTTTATTTGAATAAATGATTTTCTATTCTATTCAATACACTTAAATATATTTTAATTTCCAGGTGCCTCCACTTCTAGGCGTATGGGGTCAACTGGGTTTCGACCCAAAAACCTTCTCCTGTACAATCCTCCCGAAGAACTCCAAATCACCGAAGAAGTATCTCTTTGTGTTTGGCTTCGCGTTGCCGTGCCTGGTCATCATTGTGTCCTACTCTTGCATATATTGGAGGGTGAGGGAGAGCAAGAGAAAGCTAGAGGGCCGCAGGTGTGTATGTGGGTGAGAATCGAATCAGTTGTTTATGTGTGCTAACTGGGGGCGGTCTGTGTGCACATAAGCTTTTATTTTAGCACTGTACCTTTTTGATTTGGCCTTGTGAAGTAGAAATTTAATAAATTATATAATACTAGCTGTGCCCGCGGTTGTACCCGCTTGAAATTTATAGCCTATATGTTATTCTGATATATAAGCTATATTACTTTAAAGTTTCATCAAAATCCGTTCAGTAGTTTTTGCGTGAAAGACTAACAAACATGGATGGATACTCACTAACTTTCGCGTTTATAATATTATTAAGATTGATATTTTTTTTATATCATTAATATTCACAGTCGGAACAGTATAAAAACTATGAGTAAAATATTTATATCGTATTTTAGATAAATACCTATAATGAAATTGTTTAAATTTCATATTAAAATAATATTCCAAAAAATATTGAATTTCTACTTTATCTGTGACAGCACTTTTCAAACATAGTGTTCCACTGCAATACTTTTTAAATTCCCAGCACTAACATTTACAACGAGTAATATTTATTTTTTCTTTCTGTAGTAAACTAAGCGGCCAGACAGCAAAAGAGAAAGAAGAAGACTCGCGCCTAACAACTCTGATGCTGACCATCTTCCTCTGCTTCCTTGCCTGTTTCTTACCTCTGATGATTATGAACGTAGCCGACGACGGCATTACGTACCCTTGGCTCCATATAATAGCGTCTATTTTGGCTTGGGCGTCGAGTGTTATCAATCCATTAATATATGCAGCCACGAACCGCCAGTATCGGGCTGCATATGGGAATCTATTGAAGTTTTGTAAAAATAATCCTGTAACTAGAAGGACCACTTGGGGCAGCAGAACTGTGGGACAGTCCTCCAACTCGCCGCAATATGGAGACAAGGAGAAAAGGAATCATCACAAAGAGCCCGCTAGATTATGAACACATGTGATTTAATGTCATAATTAAAAAAAGGACCAATCTGCTAATGTGATTATACTTAAAATGATATATTATTCGATGATAATTATTATTAATTAGGTATAATGTTTTCAATTATAGCTGTATAGGGTTGTAACTAGGCCTCTAAGTATATAGAAGAAACTCAAAATACTTAACATACGTACCTACCTACCATTTATGTTAAAACAAATTGAGTTAATCTTATAATAATTAAAAAAATACTTTATCAAAATAATTTTATTATTATTATAAAAAAAATATATGATATAATTTATATTAAAAACATTGTCACTAAGCATATATCAATGCCATTTCTATTTTCGTACATATCGTAAAAATATGTATTTTTTTATTTTCTATTATTTAACTATGCCATAATGATTTATTTTGCCTCCAAACAATATATCGTCTATATTATCAAAATATTTAGAATTGGGCAACACCTTAAGCACCACGACGACAACAGTACTTACCTATGCCATCATAGAATTTAAAAAAACAAAATTATACTTGCATATTTTAATACGTAGTACGTAAATTACGTTTTTATATTAAGAAAAAAATGCTTATTTAAATAACGACTTAATTATCCTGTCGTTTACTTGTTGATTTATTATCTGTGTAAATTTCATTTGCATTTACTTTGCTTAATGATTGATTCCTGTAATTACATGTTCATCTTAAATTTCGTTATTAGAGAGGAATTTGTAATAAGGGACAGGAGTAGCCGTGATTCCGGTAACGTCAAATTGCAATTGCAATTTTATTCTTAATGAAAATCTTAAAAATAATTAGTACTGCTCAATTTCGCAACCGCTGTATCTGTTTGATCATTTCGAAATGCAAAAAATGCAAAATATGTCAGAAGTTATTTAATCTGTAACGAAACATTGTTTTTTTAAATTCGACACATTATTCTGTGCACTATTGTTCTATTTTTTTAAATACTAAATATTATCTACGGTTATTCGAGAGAAACAAATTCAGTGGGATTGCATTTAGGTATATTGAATTTCCAGATAACTCTTGTCATAGGGTTGACAAAAATTGTAAATTCGTTCGTTCGTTCGTTCATGTGCATGGGAAAGATGTCCATTTAAAACTAAAAACGATACTCAAAACCTATTTTAGTATCTAATTCCATGTAAATACATCACAATATTGTACATAATTGTATGTAGCTATAGATTTAAGTTCGATTATAAATTTTAACCAAAGCGTTAGATATAATTTTAATTTAAGATATTTATAAACCAGTTTTATATTCGTAGTAGGTTTCTAAGAATAATAATTAGTAGATTATATTTTATATGTATAAGAATTATTAAGAATTGCATTCCTTTAATTTATTTTATTTATGTTTAAAGGGAATATTAACGAAAATCTTGATGCCACTGTATACAAGTTCTGTGCTTAAATTATGTCACATTGTTACAAATCATTTTCAATAATCGGTATGTTTACGATTTTCTCTGAACCAATTGACAGTTGCAGATGCAAACAAAGTTAGGATTGTTCAGAAACTGTAACTATGAAATGATCATTATAATACACAGTATTTTCAGTGTTACATATTTAAGTCCCTATACGCGAATTCAGAACATTTATACATAATAGCAATATTTTCAATTTAAATCAGTAATAATACCCCGTTATAACTGCTATACATAATCATGCTGTGAAAATAATTATTTTTTCTAATAAATGTTTAATTCTTATGAAGACTGATTCGCAAAAGTCAATTAGTATAATTATGTTTATAATATAATATTTATATAGTTAAGACTAATATAACTTTATATAAGTTTGGCCACTGAGCAAGTAATCACTATGTTATAAGAGTACGAAATAAAACCGATTATGTAAGATCTATCTAAATAAGAAATTTAGAAAATCTTCTCTAATATTAATACATGAAAGTCGTTAAATTCATTACATTTGCTTATATACACAATGTTAAATTCATTCCGAGTTTGGCTACAGAAATATCCATATTTTAACACAATTTATATAGTTAACGTAAAAAACACTTTTTCCCGTTTATTTCCACGTTAGCGTTACCACAAAACTACTCGTAACATCACATTATTTGCTTATTTTCATATTATATAAATTAACATATTTATATTAAAAATCTAAATGATTAGTGACGAATTAAATATAATCCACATAAATATTTTAGTAATATCATACTTAAATATTTATTCCTAAATATTGATTTATAATAATATTCATTTATACAGTAAAGTAGGTAGTGTTGAATTTACTCTCAATTAAAAATTTATTTGAGAAGAATTTATATTATCCTTTTTTACTATCAATATTTAATTTATCAGGTTTAACTAAAACGTCAATCATAATAGTTAGCCATAACAACATTTTATAAATTTCTCATTTAACATATATTGTATCTTTGTACTGGCCATAAAAAAGGAAAAGCACAAAAAAAACATTAGATGCTAAATAGTGCTGTAGTATTTATTGTTCATCTGTGGTTATTTTTCATTATTTAATTGAATTTCTAATCTGTGGTTGAAACTTGCGATAGTAAACGCTGGTGAAAGAATATTGAAACTAACAAAATTACCTACTACTGGAGTGAATATTTATTTAATTAGTATATATGATTATTAAATATACCAAAAACCAGATACTAGAATTAAAATAATTATATATTTGTATACGAACAACGTACGTGTGGCTGTTATTTCGGTGTGGTTGGAGAGGTAACATAGCATGTCGTTCGAATAGGATTCATATTAAGTAAAACAAGAAATTATTGTTCCTTGTATTGTTGCCTGTAATTGAGCTCATATTCATTGATATAACACGTTAAATTAATATTACTGTTAACCTATATCTATGGGTTACAGTAATATTAATGACAGAGGCGCTGGTAGAAACTTGTAATAAACATGCTGTATGGAAACAAATTATTATTATTTATGATTAGTATGTAATGGTTTATAATAAAATCATCCTACCATTAAACTTATAACTTATTTGTACCAATTATATTGTTAAGCGAACCAAAGGTAAATTAAAATTTATTTATATGATGAATTTTTTTTATTAATATCCTACACAAAGAATTTTTATTTGTTTATTTTTTATTTGTCTTGACAATGTTTTTTGTAACTGTGAGTATACAGAAAAATTCATAATAAATAAACTTCCTTCAGATCACTGTGGTCAAGTTGTTAAGTTTAACAGTCAGATCAATAAAGTCAACAATAATAAAAAATCAAAAAGACAAATAAATGTTTACAATATTAACAAATACAAAAGCGCGATTAAAAATAAATTGGATTTGCTGTTACAATATAGTAATAATCCTGATTATCTTTACACCAAGCTAATTACTATTCTATCAGGAGAATATGAACAATTTTTCAAGAAAAAAGAGGTTTATGTTAAATCTAAATTCACGGAATGGGCAACAGTAGGTATACTTAAAAGTAGAAATATTTTGTTTGATTTATACGATCAAAAAAAATATCGATTTGATGACAAATTCACCACTTATGTGAAAAATTATTCGAAAATTTTTAAAAAAGTTTGTATTACGGCTAAATCTAATTATATTAATAAACAAATTAACCAGTCTTCTGACAAAATTAAAACCATCTGGGGCATTATAAATAAAGAAACCGGAAGATCTAAATTAGCCTATAATCAATTTGCATTAAATTATGATAATAAATTAATAACAGCAACAAAAGATGTAGTTAATGTTTTTGAAGATTTTTTTGCTAATATTCCGATTAATATTACATCTTCTTTGGACTCATCTCCATCTCGAGCAAAAATATTACTAGAGTCTAATATCGGTTGTTGTGCTTTAAGATTTAAATTTTCACATGTTAGCCCCGTTCATATCATAAAAATATTCAAACATCTAAATTTAAAAAATACAGAAGACCTTTGGGGCATGTCTGTAAAAGTAGTTAGTTCTTTCATAGATATTGTTGCTCCATATCTAGCTACTATTTTTAATAAATGTATTGATAATGGGACTTTTCCACAATTAATGAAGTTTAGCAAATTAATCCCACTATTTAAATCAGGAGATAAATTTGAGCCAGGGAACTATAGACCTATATCTATTTTGCCAGTTCTAAGTAAGGTGTTTGAAAAGATAATGTTAAATCAAATGTTACAACACTTCAGGGATAACCGACTGCTTCACAGTCAACAATATGGTTTCACCGCCGGCAAGTCTACCACTGACGCAGGTGTAGCGCTGATAACACATATTTTCCAATCATGGGAGAAGTCACAGGATGCACTCGGAGTATTTTGTGACCTATCAAAGGCATTTGATTGCGTGGATCATAAAACACTTTTGTACAAGCTCGAACATTATGGTATAAAAGATAATGATCTAAAATTAATGAGAACTTATTTAGAGGATAGGGTCCAAACTGTAGATATTGACGGTATAAAATCTAAGGGAGCTAATATTGGGATGGGCGTTCCACAAGGGTCAATCTTAGGCCCCTTTCTCTTTTTAATTTACATAAATGACCTTCCCTTTATGGTAGAGAAAATTGCAGATATAGTGCTGTTTGCGGATGATACTTCGTTAGTGTTTAAAATTGGACGTCAAACTAATCAATTAGACGATGTAAATTGTGCTATGTCTGCTATAATAAATTGGTTTACATGTAATAACCTATTATTAAATTCCAGCAAAACAAAGTGTATAAAATTTACACTTCCTAATGTAAGACCAATAAATACACAGTTATTGCTTAATGACGAAATAGTAAATTTTGTTAATGATACAGTTTTTTTAGGTATAACAGTGGACTCGAAATTACAATGGGGGCCCCATATTTCAAAATTGGCCAATAGACTCAGTTCAGCTGCATATGCAATTAGAAGAATTAGGCAATTAACAGACGTGGCGACGGCTAAACTTGTATACTTTAGTTATTTCCATAGCATTATGTCATATGGTATACTACTGTGGGGTAAAGCAGCCGATATAAATACTATATTTATCTTACAAAAGAGAGCCATACGTTCTATTTATGGTATGGGTTCAAGAGAGTCATTACGTCAGTGTTTTAAAGATTCAAATATCCTCACCGTTACTTCACAATACATTTATGAGAATATCATGTATACACGGAAGAATTTAGACAGTTTTAGAAAACTTAAAGACTGTACAAATAGAAACTTACGCAATAAAAATAAGCTAATTTTACCTAAATGCCGCCTGCACAAAGTCAGTAATTCATTCTATGGTAATTGCGTAAGATTTTATAATAAACTGCCAGAATCTGCACTAAATCTGACAGAGAGGCAATTCAAATCTTATATTAAACAATTTTTGTGTAAGAAAGCCTATTACAGGATAGACGAATTCATAGAAGACAACATATCAAGTAAATAATTAGTTTATTAGCATACAACGTTATAATTTGTTTATCTCATTGCTTTCTTGATTCAATTATTTTAGAAATATGAAAGCGTAGCGGGTTTTGTATTAATTGCCGCATGCATTCTTATGTGAAATGTGAATACTATAAACATCAGATGGCAATTGTGAGTAGCTATGACGTGGTCTGGTGTTTTGAGTAGTCATGCTCACTAAAATGTCCAGACTTGTGGCGGCGTGGTGGGCCGGGTCATTGGGCTCCCTAAAATATGGTCGAGCGCAGTGATGGCTGGCTCATCCGTCATACTCGTGAACGGGTGCTGCTTGTAGGGACTGGTCTGCTCTAATCACTATGACTGATTTCCTCTTATTAATTGTTTAACCAGTTGGTTATGTATTCAATATTTTTTTTCCTTTTTGAGTATTTAATTGAATTAGTGCTAATCGGTGGTTTGTATTCACACACTTAAACTTAAATTGTAAGTAAGAATAAATTATTTAAAAGAGCAACACACAAGTTTCTTGCTTGTTCTTCTTGTGATGAGACAGCATTCCGAATGAGCGGTAGATTAAAAAAAAAAATGTTATGACTATTCAAAAGTGCTTCAATGTAAGTTTATTTGAATAAATGATTTTCTATTCTATTCTATTTCTATTCTATTTACATCCCTGAGTCCTCTGCACTACAGAGATATCACTTAACTAACATAGTTTAAATGACAGTCTCGGTGGTCTAGCGATTTAGCACGCCGCTTTTCATTCGATGGTCGTGGGTTCGATTCCTCACATTTTTTTATGCATGAGTATGATTGTTTGTATCGGTCTGGGTGTTTTCTATATATATATATATATATTATGTATGTATTTACAAAAAATAATCTATGCTTTAACATCACTTGTCTAGTACGCATAATACAAGCTCTGCTTAGCTTGGGACTAGACGGCGCTTTGTGAATTGTCCAGCGTTATTATTATTATAGTTTAAAGTTGAGGCAATGTTTATATTTATAGCAATGGGAACTAGTGGGTTCGTTAAAGTACAATTCTAGTAAACTCGATCTACCTTCTTCCCTAGAAACAATAGTTACTTATTAGCAGTGGCGGCCTTACGGAGTAGCGAATAAGGCATTCGCCCAAGGCCTCGCGGAACAACCAACACCGTATACCGCTGATGATATATATAAGAAATACTGTTATATCTGACTTTTGCACAATAACGAAAGAACCAATTCACAGAATAAGAATTGTATAAACAAAAAGCAAGTAATCACAATGTTTTTACAAAACTGACTGTAGATGTTGTCTTTGGTTCCATTGCAATTCAAATGACTGACGTGTATGTTGGACATGACCACTAATGATTGACGCAACATTTAAATTTTTCAATCAGTCAGTCCATCAGTGGCCATCGTTCTTATTGTATTTTCCTCTTAATAATTATTAAAAAACGCCAAAAATGGCGAAAAGGATTTCACAGAGTTCAGTAAACTGGGCAGCTTTATCTGAAAGAGTTCCGTCTGAGCAGAGAGCGAACCTTACAGCCTTCAAAGCGAAATCCGATGCATATCTACGAAGGTTGGTTTTACCTACATCGAAGTTACATAATTACTTGACACTACTTTTTTGGTTATTATCGAATTATTTTGCAGAGTTCTCGCTAATCCTCCCGAACCACCAAAGATCAACTGGGCTGTATACAAGCAATCGGTGCCGATACCTGGAATGGTTGACAATTTCCAAAAACAGTATGAAGCGCTGAAGATTCCTTTCCCTGCCGACACCCAGACCGCGCAAGTAGACGCACAATGGGCTGAAGTCAAGAAAGCTATCGAATCCTTCGTTCAGACGGCCAATGCTAACATTACGAAGTAAGTTCACTTCTTACTATCTTAATTTACGTCATAGAACCATCTACATGCAGTTTGCAAACCTTACAACCTAAATTTATTATTATGAAGTAACTTCATTTCTGATACTACTATTTTTTAAACCGGATTACTATGTCAATTTACTTCATAGAACCTTCTCCATGCAATTTGTAAAACTTACAACATAAATTGTTGCCATTCTAGAGAACCGAGATATATAGAGCCACTTATCCTATAATGTTACTACCAAATATCATTTTACAACCAAAACACTGCTTACAGAGCAAGCTGACGGAAATAAGTGTAACTGCAGTTATCACAGACAACTTTCTACAGTCTGTCTCATAAAACAGAGACATATTATTTTGTAGATTTTAAATGTATATTTTTATAGCTTTAATTTCTCCCATAACACATTTCAACATATTATATTTTTGGTTTCTTTTTTTTTTGTTATATGCCCCTGAATCTGTGCTTGGCTTTAAATGTATACCATAATATATTGTAATTCTATTTTAGTATAATGACCAACAAATAATTTTCTTTCTTTTGCAACTCATAACTTTTTTTGAAATTTAGTAGTGTCTCATGTCTTGACTAAATTTAAAATATTACAGATATGAGAAGGAAATCAGCTCAGTCCAGGCCCTCCTACCTTACGATCAGATGACAATGGAAGACTACCGTGATGCTTACCCCAACGAAGCTTTGGACCCATTGAACAAGCCAACATTCTGGCCTCATGACCCCAATGACCAGCCCGGAAACTACAAGCCTGAGGCGACACAAGCTGCTCACTAAGTCATTCATTAGCTAGCTCCTTGATATGCCATCAAAATAAAATTTCATTTTATCAAAATTCCAGCTATATTCAATGATAACTGATTCTGAATGCATATCAGGGTGCAGTAAGCAATATAAATAAATTCTGTTTAAATTATGTAGGAGTAAAATGTAATAAATACATAATGGTGTTTCAATACTATTTTCACTGTTTCCCGTATTATGTAATTCTCACGGGTGACCTGATTGATAACTCAAAAAGAAGTATGTTCTAAAGTATATACCTTCCAAAAAGTAGGCAATATACCTACAATTAATTGGATATTCCTTTGTAGGGATATGATATTTTGGATATAGGAATAATTATTATACCGGATGTGGATGGATATGAAATTATTTCGGATTATCCGTTAGTTTCGGAGAATTTCGGTTACGGATATTATTTTTTGAAGGAATTTTAAAATTAAATTACAAATAGCTAATAAAATGGTTACATAAGTCTCTATTAGGCTCCACCGCTATCCGATATTATCCGAAACTTATTTCGGATTCGGTTACGGTTACGAAGTTTTTTTTATACCGGATATCCGATAGTTTCCGTTACGGTTACGGAGCTCCCTAACATCCCTGTTCTTTTGGCACATCTGATCCATAGCCCTCCAGTATGGCAACACAGAAGATAATAATGGACGTCACATGACATGTCCCTATCAATTAATAAGTACAAATACAAAAAAATATCAGGGTGTCAGTAATTAGGCAGCGCCCCCATCAAATGGCCCAGCAGGTGTGCGCAACCACAATGGAGTAGGACGAAATAGGTTGTCCTAACCTCAGCGAGTTGGGGCTTACCCTACAACACCCACACACCACCCCGCCATCCGGGCCTACGTCGCGGCGGCGCCTCCGGCAGGATGACGATCATTTGAACATTTTCCACGTTGGCAAAAAAAAGGGTGTCACTAATTACTGCTAGCTAAAAAGCCCTTGACTACTCCTATTGCGCGATATTACACTAAAATTCTTTGTTTTTGGACTAGTAATAGACGAAAATCATTCAATTCCAAATCTCACTGTTAGCACAAACACACCGTACTCTGGGTTTGCTGTTCCTCGTAAATCTAGATATAATTTTACTTGTATAATTAATTGAGATTACTTATTTACTTTCTTGAAATTACAATTTTAGGCTTTCAATATGGACGGGTTTACTATAAAAGTAATTAGATAAATCGTTTTTTTCGGTTTTCTGTAATGCTATGGTAGCCGCAGCTAGCCTTTACAGCTTTACCGGATGAAACAGGGCGAGTTCATACTATGAGAGCCATTGCCATAGTACATTTAAAATGTTATTAGAATGTTGGTCAGATCTTCAAGATAACAAAATAGTTCGCATTTCGTCTCGTCATGCCTAATCCTTGTTAATGTGTACACACTTAGAACTTTTATTTAAGAGAGCAACACGCAAATTTCTCCCTCGTTCTTGTGATGAGTCGGCATTCCAAATAAGTGGTAGAATAAAAAACATGACTATTCAAAAGTGCTTAGATGAGACTGCGTTACGAATAGAAAGGTCGAATAAAAAATATGACTATTCAAAAGTGCTTTTATTTGAATAAAGACTTTCTCCAACTCGTCGAAATAAAAAAAAGCATTAAAAATGACATTTTATTAAGATTTTAATTGCACAATCTTATAGATATTCAGTTACGTCACAAACAGGTAGGGAATGTTTGGATCGAGAGCAAAATAGACAAGTAAATTAACGAGATCCTTGTGTAGTAAGATTGTTACAACAGACAACGCTGTTCCATTATTTTAAATATAGTTAATATATATATTAGTTGAGAGAGAAAATTTACCTAATTGCTGAGCAATTAGACATTTATCTAAGCTATTGTGTTCATGATTTTACTAAGATATGTTAATTTAATTAAAAATCAATGTCACCGTTTCATTTGCTAGAAAAATATTCTAACTCACCCAAATTAAGGGTATTCATTTCATTACCCATGTACTTAAATAAAGTAAAAATACTATATATATCTTCGACAATATTAAATAAAAGTTGCATGGTCTAAATTGACAATTTGCATATGTAAATAACACCAATTTTGTTACCAGATTAAAAAAAAACGCCGCAATGACGGCAGTCGTGATGGGAATGAACGTAGAACGTCGAAGTACATATAACAGCCAGGCGACATTTAATGTCGAATTTTGTACATCATTTTTTTTATTTACCCCCATATTTATTAGCCGTCTGTGGTGGAGGGGAGGAGTACATATTGTAGTAGCTCGTAGGCGGGGGGACGTTGAAGCTTTGTGATTGTGACTGTCCATAATTCTGGTTGTAGCCCTGCTGGTTCTGACCGTAGCCCCCCCGGGCTCCGCCCCTGCCGCCCCGGCCCCCGCGCCCTCTGAAACCATTGTCCCGATTGAATCCACCTCCCTCGCGGCTGCCGTAGTTGTTTCTGTTGCCGTAGCCTTCACTCCTGTTGTAGCTGGAGCTTTGGTTCTCTCCGTAGCTCTCGGAATTATCCCATCTGGAGCCTGGATGAAGATAGATAAAGTATAATAATATCTCAAGACATCGTCTAGTCCTAAGATAAGCAGAGATTGTGTTATTGGTACTGGACAATTGATAGAAATACTAACATACAGTTTTTTGTTAATACATATTATATTTATTAACTAAATAAATATAATATGTAGTATAAAAACTGTACATTAGTATTATAAATGTTTACTATAAAATTGAAGAATTTGTTAAGGAAAATATTGTTTTTATAGAAAAATTTTAAATCCACAGTACTGATATAATATTATCTGATTACACTAATAATGAGTGCGTAGCGACTTCTATGTTGATTATCGCATGCCTAATACATGTTATACTTTAATTATTTATATAAAAAAACATCTATTAAAAAGAGCAACACACAAGTTTCTTGCTCATTCTTATTGTGATGAATCTGCATTCCGAATGAGTGGTAGAATCAAAATATGACTATTCAAAAGTGCTTGTAATGAGTTTATTTGAATAAAGATTATTTCTATTTCTATACTGGTGTCCCACCAGTGTAAACTAGAGCAACCATTACATCATATTAATATTATAGATGCAAACGTTTGTGAGTATAGATGGATGTTTGTTACCATTTCACGCAAAAACTACTAAACGGAATTTGATGAAACTTTACAGCAATATGGTTTAATATCAGAATAACACACGGGCTATAAATTTAATGCGGATAAAACCTGGGGCACAGCTAGTTATGTGTATATATAACCGTCCACGTGATGGAATATGGTAACTATTACGTTTAGAATTAACAACATTATCTTAATCTGTCATTCTTCATGCAGTTAGCTTATTCGAAATTGCGTGTAACATAATTACTTGGTTTAAATTAAGTACTTAATACTCCTGTGTATTTTGTATTTATATATATATTATGTATGTATTAGTATATAAATTATATCTTATATATAAAATTCTCGTGTCACAGTTTTCGTTCCCATGCTCCTCCGAAACGGCTTGACCGATTCTCATGAAATTTTGTAAGCGTATTGAGTAGGTCTGCGAATCGGCCAACATCTATTTTTCATCCCTAAATGTTAGGGGTAGTCCACCCCTAATTTATTTTTTATTTTGTAGACAAAATTTTTATTTTCTATTCTTTTATGATACAACATACAAAAATACATACAATCCTAAATTTTACCCTTCTATCATCAACCCCTATTTTTTTATAGCGTTATTAATTTATATGGCAAAACGTTTGCCGGGACAGCTAGTATTGTATATATATGTAAGTAGGACATGTAAATTATTATTATTTAGTATTGCTCTGCCTTTTTATTTCTCTAGTCCATTCTTGCGCCATCTACCACTTTCTGTCTTCTCTCCTCTACCCAAAGGTTGTCTGGAAGAGATTGCTTAAGCGATAAGACCGCCTTTTGTACCTTATTACTCATTATTTGTTTGTTCTTTGAATAATTATTTATCTTTCTGATGCAATAAAGTTAATAAATAAATAAACAGCGTAATTATAGTGAGTCTTCATATAATTTAAAAAATCTACCTCTATCACCAAACCGGCTGCCACCACCACGGCCTCGTCCGCGGCCACGACTGCCGCGATCCGACCTCGAATCTCCTTCGTCGCGGTCACGGAACCTTGCACGACCTTTAACAATCATAATAATCAAGCCTGGACAATTCATACGACGCCATCTAGTCCCAAGCTGAGCAGAGCTTGTGTTATGGTACTAGACAAGTCAATTTTATTTATTTTTTATTTATTCAGTTCATTCAGTTATTTCAGGCAACTAGGCCCATATTATAAATACCTTATAGACTAACATACATATAATATAATATTTAAAAACTAATACAATGATATTGTCTGTGCGATTACGGCAATCTACCACGGTAGCGCCGATATACCACACCTTTCGGCCAGTAAACCTCTTTATGAAGGTGGGCAGCAAGTTTGTGGGGACCAGGGCCATAAACGCTTTGAAACTCGCGTTGTGACTCGACTTCAGCTGCGTCACCCTCAATGTCAGGTTACTCTTGGTACGGATATAATCGACAATGTCCTGCTCCTTAGTGGCGTAATGTAGACGGGACAGGTACATTGTCGTGGTCGGTGTAGCAGAGACAAGTAAATACATATGTAATATATATAGAATATACATATGTAATATATGTATATAGAAAACATCAAGACCAATACAAACAATTGTACTCATGAAAACAAAATGCTTGCATTGTGGGAGGAATTGAACTCGCGACAGTGTCCTAAACCATTACACCATAACGCTTATAACAATAAATACTGTCACTGAATTCTTTGTATAAATATATAAATCATCTATACATACAAATAAAATTGGAGTGTCAGTTTGTAATATAAAAAAAAAAACGTATTTTACTACATACATATGAATGTAAATTTTTGTCTATCTATCTGTCTGTTTGTTCCCGCTAATCTCTGAAATGGCTAAACCGATTTTGAAGGGACTTTTTTTGGCAGGTAGCTGATGTAATAAGGAGTAACTTAGGCTACTTTTATCTTAGTAAAATAGAATTTATTTCCACGCGGACGAAGTCGCGGATACAGCTAGTAGACTGTATAATCAAGTTAGGGAAACTGGACAGGTTACTACAATAGGTTACTGACATCAAGGCTAGATCAGATAACCAGATATTAGACCACAGGAACTTACCATATTTTCCTTTAAAACCCATTCCACATTGCGCCAACTCCAATAACTTAGGATTCACTACTTGATTAGCTTCCTGAAGCACCGACATCAAGTCTCTTGCCTACAACAATAAAATTACACTATTGAAAAACAGATTTGGATTTCAAATTTGTATTGATTTGTATTTATTTGTATTGATGATGTTCAACATCTGTTGATGGAATGCGTCAAGAACAACACTGAAAGGCAAATCTTACTGAAAAGAAATAAATTTAAACAAAATTAATTTACGAATATTTCAGAGTATTTTATCAGAACCTGCATCAACACAATCGGTATTAATTTATAAATTTGTAGATAAAAGTAGGTAAGATTTGTTTTTATAGTAATTTAAAGTTTAGATGTTATGTAATTGATTAAGAAGACAACACGGAGCTAACATGCTCACTATTGTGCTAAGCTCCTAAATAAATAGAGAAAAAAAAATTACGATAATAGATTCAAATATTTATAAAGGGCCCTTGAAATGATTGCTAACTATTTTATATGTATATACAAATATATGTATATATTGCACAAAGGTTTGTAGTGATGAACGTATGAACTTCATACGTATCAATACAAATTTTGAGTCAATAGCGCAATTAGACAAGTTTCTCTTGTAGATTCCAAGGGAGGATCCAGGTTTGGCGCCAGGAGGTAGTCGCATAGTCGTGGTCAAGTTAAGAACTTATAAGATAACCACCGCGCTACACCCTAATAAAATAATAGAATACCTAATGCATAAAATTAAAAAAACAACATAATTATGATAACATTACCTTAGCAGAATTGTTAGGTGTGAACAGAGTGTAAGCTGTGCCGGTATTCTGCGAGCGGCCCGTGCGACCGATGCGATGTACGTAGTCCTCAGAATTATTTGGATAATCATAGTTAATTACGAACTTCACGTCTTCCACATCTGAATTGTAAGATGAAGTATTAACTTCTGCTACCGATTCGATTATCCGACGTAACAACTCACATTCCACGAATAAAGTCATATGTATTTCAAGATAATCTCATTTGAGGGAAGAATCTTATGAATTAAGGTCCCAAGTTAGAACCTAGTGATACTCCAGAATGCACAACCGTTTATTACTAGGTATAGTGTTTATTTCTTTTTATATAGTTATTGACAATGAAATAATAAATCGTACGGTAGTAATATGTAATGAAAACAGCAACACAATTACATTACTAATATCTGTTCAAGTTAGTGTTAAATTATTCAAAAGCTTTGGTAAAGTCAACATGCTTTGTAAGCCTATTCCCTCAAACTAAATATCATGTAATGTCCATTTACCTTATCAATGCCATGGCGCTGGAGCGGGAACTGCTGGAAATAACTGTATTATGCCCGTCAGTAGTTCCGGAGTGTTGTAGGCCAAGAGTGGACTGGTGTGCTGACTTGTACGCCAACATTTGTACATTGTGAGTTTGCTATTTTGCTATTAGTTGTCAGGTGGCGTAGGGTTTAGTTTTCATTAAATCTCTCATGACATATAACCAAGCATATTGCTCTTATCAGATTCATTCGACGATGTTATTTTCATTCCAATTGATCAGCGATTACAAAAAAGAAATTTATATATTTGAAACAACTCTCAAATTTGGACTTCATTTTATAAGTTACTTTAAAATCTTCCGATTTGCAATAGATTACTACATATGAAACAATACTTCGTATTTATTCCCCGCTATACCCCTCGGTACCTAATATTTTGCTACGTTAATAGAGGCAGCATGCTCATTCAAACAGTGTGCGCTGACAGTACATTTAATGCTGTCATTAATGATTCCATCATCTGAATGGTTATCGTTAATTTATCGTGAAGTCAGCAACACACGCCTAGGCTAGCCTTTATCTCTGCACGCATGCGCCTCTGAAATGAAAACAATTGAGAATAATGCCAAGTCAGTCATGGAAATTTCTTTATTATCGGGCAATGATTAGAGGAACTATATGATTCACTTGACGACAAAATATAATTAACATTAAATATGCATGGGGCGAAAATTGCAACCTTTCATTCATCAGTTTCTGAAACACAAAACTAAACAGATCAACAATTATCTCCCATGATAAGCGCAGTAGAGTCAGTCATCATAAGATCCATATCGTCGCCCGAGAATAGTCCTAATGGTGTTATCAAACCATTGCTTAATGTTACATATACATTATTAGATGGCCTATGTTCCAATATTCACCTCGAAACTCCCATTTTAAATGTATGTAGGCTATCTTCTTCCCTTTTTTTTTTGTTTCTAATAAGCAATTGAGGATTCTCACCTAGATTTGTCTAAATTTGAACAATAATAATTAAAGTAATGAGAAACATATCAATCCAGATTTTACAATTATACATTTGCTAAAAATGCAGTCAGTTCGTGAATACTGGAACTGGTTTTTCTAAATTTTAATTCAGCAATGGCATCAAATACCTCCTCTACGCTCCTGACATCTCTTAGACCTTTGAAACACCCCGGTAAAACAGTGCGAGATGATTAAATCGCTTTAGAACCATGGAAAAATCCTCGCGACTGTTTCTCAATAAATCTTTTGTTTGATGCCTTTATATATTTGTACATTGGCGGGAATATTGTCACCACCTTTTTATCAGAAACAGTATTGGAGATACTATTTATATAATCAACTATATCTACAGGTGGCTCAAACATAAGATAGTCAACTTCTGGGCAATTAACAGTAACAACTAAACATGTATCCAATTGTGTTATCGGTTTCACAATGAATTAACTGGTTTTTAAAATAGCATATTTGTGCGGAGCTATTCATGTTTTAGCCTATTGAGGTGTCTTAAAAATGGGAAGGGAATGTGGATTTATATCTAGTGGTTAAGGCAACTTACCCAATCCTCTAGCAGCGACGTCGGTCGCTACCAGTATCCCTCCATTGCTTTGCCGGAACTGGTGGAGCACATAATCACGATCCTGCTGATTCTTGTCGCCGTGTATCGCGAGCGCACGCCAACCAGAGCGGTTTATGGTTTTTGTTATATCATCAACCTAAATAGAATGTAATATATTTCTAACTCTTTCACATTTAGTAATGTGGACCTAGGGCAAGTTATTTTGATGATCGGTATTAGTCTAGCGTAAGCCATTACTTTAGAAATTTGTTAAATTTATATGTAGATATAGATAAGCGTGACGTCTTTAACAACGTCCCTCATCATTAGAAGAACTATACTATGAATATTAATTATTTCTTTTTTTTATTAGTGTAAATTTGTGATGTGGTAAATAGTCAAGAGTTTGTTTTTGTTTATTATTATAGCAAATTTATTAACCTAAGGTCATCAAAAGTCAATAATACAATGCTAATCGCCAACCTGTTTCAAATAGCCTATCTATAACTAAAAATAAAAATGGAGTGTCGGTTTATAATATTGAAATAACCGTTTCTTACTACATGCATATGAATATAAATACGGTATATCCACCAAAATATCATTTTTTACAATTTTTGTCTGTCTGTCTGTTTGTTCCGGCTAATCTCTGAAATGACTGGACCTATTTTGACGAGACTTTTATTGGCAGGTATCTGATGTAATAAGGAGTAACTATGGTTACTTTTATTTCAGAAAAATAAAGTTAAATTCCACGCGGATGAAATCGCAGGTGTAGCTAGTAAATAAATATAATGAAGTATATGTTTACCTTTCTTTTAGTTTCTGCAAATATAATAGTTTTTGTTTCCTCTTCCGAAGATATTTCAGTGAGCAATGTGATCAACTTATCATCCTTTTCCCATTCTTCACAACAATCCACAATTTGAAGAATATTATGGTTTGCGGACAATGTGAGGGAACCAATGTTGATTTGGATGTAGTTATGAAGAAACTCCTCAGCCAGATTTTGTACCTCTTTTGGCCAAGTTGCAGACCACATCAGCACCTATGTGACAATGTTACGATATTTTTTTATGTACTTAAAATAGCAAACAATCTGACAGCCAATTAAGTGGGAAGCATTGCCTAAATACATGTACAGCACTAGATCCATAACGTTATCATGTGACGCCCTTAAACACACATGCGTTGCCAGGATATATAGATAAAATTTTTGTGTTAAAGGACACACACAAGATACAGTAATATAAAGAAAAAAAATTAAATACAACTACATTGGTCAGTTAACAATCTATACATATAAATAAAATTGGAGTGTCTGTTTGTAATATTGAAATAACCGTTTTTACTACATGCATATGAATATATATATATACGGTACATATACCAAAATAACAATTTTTATAATTTTTGTCTGTCTGTCTGTTTGTTCCGGCTAATCTCTGAAATGGCTGAACCGATTTTGACAGAACTTTTTTTGGCAGGTAGCTGATGTAATAAGAAGTAACTTAGGCTACTTTTATTTTAGAAAAATAAAGTTAAATTCCACGCGGACGAAGTCGCGGGAACAGCTGGTATACAATATAGTTACAAAAAAAACAAGTCATTAATGTAGCGTGTATGTGCATCGTCCACACGCAAAAAAGGCAGAACCTACTGTATTCATTGCTCGAGCAGCAACCATTTATTTTCAGGAAAATAAGCAATAATTAAGATGTCATACTTGTTACTATGTAATTTCACTACCTTATATACTGCCCTTGACCGGAAAGAAGACTTACAAGACAAGCTAAAATAGGCGAGGCTGACACACAGTCAACTTTTTACGATAATATATTTTTTTTAAAAACCGATAGCCAAATTAACACATAATCTATGCTAGTAGTTTTTAATAGGCAGTAAGTTTCTATAATATAAAAAAACGACAACCCTTGATATCATACTATCAACCTATATTGAAACCTTCAAGAAAAGAGCTTATTCCTTTTTAAAACGCTGACGACGCACTTGCAATTCCCCTGGTGCTCATGGGCGGCGGTAATCACTTACCATCAGGTGAGCCGCATGCTCGTTTGTCTCCTGCGTTATAAAAAAAACCTATCTCGGCTTCGCACAGATGCATTACAAATCTTTGAATTTCTTAGCTTGTTCTATACACACATGTATTATCCATATAAACCTTCTTGATTCACTCTATCTGCTGCTGAAAACTGCATTAAAATCCGTTGCACAATTAAAAGATATAAGGGAACAGACAGCAGTGGTAACTTTCATGACAGTTTTATTTTAATACTATATAAAGAAACCTACCTGTCTATCAGGTCGAATTTGTTCAATAATCTTCCTGATTTGAGGTTCAAAACCCATGTCCAACATCCTGTCTGCCTCATCCAACACCAAGTAAGTGCAACGCCGTAAATTTGTTGTTCCTTTGAATAAAAAAAATATATTTTAGTTACAGTATAAAATTAACAGTATATTTATGCATTGTATTAACAAAAATACTACATATATTTGTTGCCATCCATGTTTATAAGGAGACATAAATAAATAAAATTAATATTATTATACTAGATGGCCCAAGGGACGTTGTCTGCATCACACGTTAATTTATCCCCTTAGGGATGGAATTTATCAAAATCCTTTCTATGGGGATGCCTACGTCATAGTAGCTTTATGTATGCAAAGTCTCAGCCCGATCGGTTTAAAATTGACAATGTTTCATACAAACTTTCATCCCCTTGGGGGTAGAATTAATCAAAATCCTTTCTTAGCAGACAAAATCTTTTTGCCTACATTATAATATCTACCCGCATGCCAAATTTCAGCCCGATTCGTCCAGTGGGTTGAGTTGTGCGTTGATAGATCACTATGTCAGTCACCTTTGAGTTATATATATTTCAATATTGCCCAATTTACATATCTTTTTAAATTATAGCCTGATGTATAAGCTATGTTACTGTAAAGATTCATAAAAATCAGCTCTGTTATTTTTGGGTGAAAGAGTAACAAACATCCATCGATACTCACAAACTTTCCCATTTATAATGTTAGTAAGTTTAATTGGATATGGTTACAATATACCTTTTTCTAAAAAGTCAATCAGTCTTCCTGGTGTAGCAATCACAATTTCAACGCCTCTCTCTAGGCACCTACCCTGTGGACCCTTAGGGGCCCCGCCAAATATACAAGTGTTCCGAACTTGCACATTTTGCCCAAAGTCTGTAGCGACCTGCAAAATTGGTTAGTTCCATTACATAACTATCTAATGTGATAATCATTTATAGGTGAATAGGTGCAAGCAAATATAGAAATATGAAATAATTGTTAATACAGTAATACCAACATGATAACATTATATTTGTCGATTAATATTAATTATAAAAACATTACTTTAAAGTGCAATAATTGTTTAATTTGTTTACTTCAAACTTTTACTTACTTTTAATCATCCTAAGTAGAACAAATAAATAAAATTTTGTATATACAGATGATTAGATTTAACAGTTCTTTTAATGTTTATTTCAATTTTAAAGTGCAATAGTTGTTTAATTTGGTTATTTCAAACTTAATCCTGATTTATATCATCCTAAGTAGAACAAATAAATTTTGTATATTCTATGATGATAAGAATTCAACTGTTTTATTACTGTTTATTTCAATTACATATAAATAAAATTGGAGTGTCTGTTTGCAATACGGAAAACCCGTTTTTTACTACATACATATGAATGTATATACGGTACATATACCAAAATAACATTTTTTATGATTTTTGTCTGTCAGTCTGTTTGTTCCGGCTAATCTCTGAAATGGCTGAACCGATTTTGGCAGGTAGCTTATGTAATAATTTTTATGTTAGATTTCATTTTTATTTTAGAAAACAAAAATATAAAAATAAATTCCACAGGGATGAAGTCCCGGGAACAGCTAGTAAATAATAAAATTAGATCAAATTGTAGGGAACAGTAAGTATTGTTTATGTATTTATCTGTACAATTATTATATTTTTCTTTATGTTCTGAGAACATACAACAAATAATGGGAGATAACATATACAATGTTAACTCCTATTATATTTTACATGTTTTCAGAATGGTCTTACTGTATTTAATTAAATAATAAAAATATATAGATAAATGTCAGACAAGTTCAGTGATAGTGTAACATTTGCTTAATGATTTCTTTTTATGTGAAATAAAAATATAAGATAACAAAATTAATTTGCAATGTATATTACAGATGAAAACGAAAGTGTGATCAGATGTAATCATGTGATGATCTAACCCTAATCAATTACTAAGAAAGCATACAACAGATAGAAATAGAATAGAAATAGAAAACAGAATAATAGATTAGAAAAGTGATAAGTGCCAAAATAAATAAAAAACACTAAGGTTACGTTCAGAAACCTGACCTAACCAAAAAGAGAATTTTGAATTTAGAAGTTACAAATTTTAAACTTCCATGTAATTACATCCGAAACAATATTAGGTTTTCGAACATAGCCTGCCATAATAAGCTAAGTTCTACATATTATTAATTGAATTAAATTACTATCTCTGAGACGTTTTGATCGCTGTCCAACATCTCTGCAGCGATTCCATTCATTCCAATCAACGTCTGTTGCGGCATAACGGAAAACAAAACTAAGTCTTATTGACATCAACATAAAGTACAATTCAAAACATATTTGTATTTGTATATACACTGGTAGTTATGTACCAGTAGCTCAAATGCAATCTGGCAATTCATATGCAAATCCTTTTACTATAAGCATATTTGCATTCCAATAATAGTCAGTAGCTCAAAGGCAGATCAGACTATCATGTTTAACATACAATGGCAGGCCTTATTCCCTCTACACAATATTATTTATATTGTAAACTGAACTAAAACATTACCTGCTGGATTTGCTGTGCCAGTTCTCTGGTTGGAGCCAAAACAAGCACAATCGGTCCGTCATCACGGAGCAGCCGCGGTTGATTTATAATGTGAACTATAGCTGGTAAAATGTATGCTAGAGTCTTCCCCGAACCTGTCTGGGCTATTCCAACCATATCACGACCCGACAATGCTATTGGCCAGCCCTGAGCTTGAATAGCAGTAGGGTTAGGGAATCCCTGCTTCAAAATCTCCTTCATAGCATAATCAGGGAAGCCACCCTCTTCAAAATAAATGCTAGGTGATGGTACATCATGACCTTTCACTGTTATCTGGTGCTGACTGCGATAAGCCTCTACTTCAGCTTGCGAGCGTCTTTGGACGTTGGCATGAGGGACATAGAAATTTTTCTCAAATGGCGTCAGCTCGACTGTGTCCCAGCGGACTTTGCGGAGGTTACCGCCGGGCTGGTCATTTTTAAAGCTGCCGCGGAAGTCGTCCCGGCCACCGCGACCGCCGAATCCGCGGCCACCATCTCGCCCTCCATCTCGTCCTCGGCCGCCACCAAAGCGACTACCACTTCTATCCTGTGATCTATCGCCAGATCTAGGTCCTCCCCGGCCCCCGCGCCCGCCGCCACGTCCGCCACCGCGTCCACCACCACGACCGCCACGCCTATCGTCATACCTACACAACACAACAGATAGTAAAACAAAATCTTCACTGTTGTAATAAACTTCATAATCAAAATATAACTTACATTTTCCTTATATATAACGTGAAATTCTCTTTTATATACCTAATATGTTTATTTCTTGTATTTTAATACTACTACAATTCAAATAAACTACTTTTTTTACTAATAAATGAAAAGAAGCTTCATATAAAATTCAATCCGATGGCCGGCGCCATATTAATCAAGTTTATTTTGTTTATGGTCTTAACTTTTCAATCACTTTGTCACTTTTGGTTCTGGATACAAGTGATTTTTAAGTAAAGAAGGTTTGAAGGTTTTTAGAAAATAGAACTATAAAGTTCTAATATTTTTGAACTAATATATATTTAACCACGACTGAAATAATTTTAATTTATTGCATAAACCGATATAGCAGAACCAAAAAAAAATGTGCATGAATCATATGAGTAATAGTTTCTTATTAGAAATCTGAATGAAAACTACTGACTTTATTGTCTAGGTTATAAATTTAGTTTTTTTTATTCCTTCCATTTAGATACAGAAAGCAATGTAAATGACAAATTATTCGTACGTGCCGTAACAAAATTCCGCGAAAATTGAAAACGTAAGGATTTGGATCTGAAGTCCTACAGTGTATTGAATTCACTGTATTACATTTGACATATCATAATTTTATACATATTTTGCTTATTATATTTAATTAAAGTAACATAATTCCCTTAACTACAATATTTGTAGGTTCGTCACACATTAGTAGGGAAATTTGTAATATTAAAAAGTTAAATAAGTATCTGTATACACTACTTTATATTTTTAATTGATGATTGTAAAATTATGATTCTTGCTACAATAATATAAGATAACTATATTCATCATTAAAGAATGAGTATAAAATCAATTATTATTATTAAAGTTGTCAGTAGATATGATATCATAATGGTAGGTATCCAAGGCATTACATGGATATTTTGGGATTTTATTTATAACGACGGCAAATAAGGAAACACCATTCTTCTAAGAGACTCGGAGTCTTTTTTAATTAATATGTTTTCTCTTTTTATATACAAAAAATATGGTAATACAACAAAGTTTTATATCCAACAATGGATACCACCTTGACCTAGTAATGTATCATTGGGGCCAAACTCCCATTGGCAACAAGCCGCTCCCCCTACAAAATTTTAATGGACAAATCTTTATTGATCAAACTACAAAATTGAAGCCACATTCTACAAAATGGACGCCTCAATACCTGTCTTTGAAAAACCTCATCCGCGTTTAAGTGTTTTAGATTGGACTAGGAATATACAGAGATTACAAGAGGAAGCGAGAGTCCGTCGGTTCGAGTCGTACGAATTAAGGCAGAAAGCGAATCAACTGAGAAACGAAACGTCGATTACAACTCGATGGGATAATTATGTCAATAACGAACTATTGAGGGATAGGTATGTATTAGTCTGGTTTTTTTTTCGAACTATACTGCAGCTATAGAAAGCAATAATCCCCTTAGGCCTACCTTAATTATTTCACTGAACAAAAGTGGCGGGAAATACAGAGTGACGGATACGATTTTATTTTAACGTCACTTTTTTTTTTTTTTTTCGAGTTACTCTAATGCTTTTGGCCGCAGCTGGCCTTTACAGCTTCAGCGGACGTTAGGGGGCGAGTGCAGATGGCACTCCAAACCCGCGGAAGGACTTATGGAGCAGCAGAAGGCCAACTCCTGCCTGATGGATACGACTTTAGTCTGAGGGCACCACTAGGGGTTCGAACCTCAGCTCAGGCCGTCGTAATTTTGATCCCCGTTTGAATTGGACGGGAGATCGATTGCGAGGTTCAAATTACTAATAGTTTAAACCTCGATTCCGTCCGTCAGTAATTTCGATACCCGTAGACAGCGTATCGATTGGAGACCATTTAATTGGTGCATAAAAGTTCATTTGTTAAGAAACATGACTAGGCTGTTATTTATAAAGTTTCTATGGACCCAATCTGCTAGTAATGCCGAGTAATAGCATATCTTATCTGTGGTAATACTTTAAAAAAATTATAACCGAATTGAGAATCTCTCCTTGACAAAATAGATACACATATTTTCAACAAACATAAATCACTATAACTATCTGACTGTCTAACTGTGTATGTACTAAGGGTTGCAAATTAAAAAATTAAACGTAAGCACTATGACGATATCTTGTCCCGAATTTTCCGTCCATATGTCCGTTTATCATAGTGAAATTTTGAATAGTTTCAGAGAGCATTACTACAATTAAAGTAAAATAAATAATAAAAGATATGTTATGATATGATATATTAATACTTTAGTGTTGTAATATTGAATATTGCAATTGTGATAAAACCTTTAATTGACCTTATTTTTAAGTACATATTATTTGTTATTAGTTGTATTTCGCTTTCAATATTTGGTTTTCAAAATAAATAAAAAAAAGGAAAAAGAAATTACTGCAATTTCAAAAAATATAGTATACTTTATGTGTAGTGCTCTTCATATATATACTCGTACCTATGAGCGACGGTTGTCCATCAGCTGGCTTGCATGATGTGTTAGTCATTGTAACCCTTACAAGTAATACCACGTGCACAGCTAGTATACATTCAAAAGTTTGCTATATTATAAACAGGATATTTGAAGTACAATCGTGGCGTGAAAAGCAGAGATTCACGAGGGAGAGCGTAAGGGATGAGATCAGAGCTCTGAAGGAAGAAAAGAACGCCACAGAGTTACACTTGGAGTCGCTGCAAGTGCCGCTAATGGTGTCCTCGCAGTGTCTCTCGAACAGGGACCAGAGACTACCCCCAGAACTCACTAGGGACCAGCTGGGCGAGGAACTTAACAAAGTAGGTTTTACTGGCTTTAAGTAGGCAGTTAGTAAAATCTTTAGCAATACTAGCGATTCGAAAATGCATAGTTAAAAAAATGTTTTTGCTGTTGAAAGATAATACATTTTAAAGTTATAGGAGTACAAAATCTAGGTCCAGCTAGAATAAAAAAAAAGTTTCGTATTTGAGGCCTCGGTGCAATCATTTGTATTCATGAGTATGATTGTTTATATTGGTCTCGCTTTAGTTCCGTTGGTCGCGGGTTCGATTCCTCGCAGGATACCAACATTTGTCGTCATGAGCATGATTGTTTGTATTGGTCTCGCTTTAGTTCCGATGGTCGCGGGTTCGATTCCTCGCAGGGTACCAACATTTATCTTCACGAGTATGATTGTTTGTATTGGTCTGGGTGTTTTCTATGTATATTATGTATGGATTTACAAAAAAATATCTAAAACACACAAGCTCTGCTTAACGTGGAACTAGATGGCGCTAATTGTCCAGGTTTAGTTATTTTTAAACCATACATTATTTAAATCATTAACCGGGTCGTAACACGAATAAAGGTATTTACCTCTTTCGACGTTTCGACTAGGTTGCACTAGGTTATTTATTTAATTAATTACCCTCTCATGTGGGCCGTTGTACGTGTCATAATCGGTACATAACATCAACTCAAATCAAAGTCAGTAATTCGTTTTATGGAAATTGCGTAAGGTTTTACAACAAACTCCCAGAGTCTGTAGTCAATTTGCCAGAAAAAAAATCAAATATGTCATAAAACATTTTCTTTGTAAAAAAGCTTATTATAAAATTGAAGAATTTATAAATGATAATAATGTTTTTGTAGAAAATACCTAACAAAATACATAGCGCTGACAATGTTATCTGATTGAACAGAGATTAAGTGCGTAGCGGTTTCTATGTTGATTGTCGCATGCCTAATCCTTGTTGTTAATTAACTATGTATAAGTAAATCAATATTTATTTAAAAGAGCAACACACAAGTTTCTTGCTTATTCTTCTTGTGATGAATCTGCATTCCGAATAAGCGTCAGAATAAAAAAAAAACTTGACTATTCAAAAGTGCTTATATTAAGTTTATTTGAATAAAGATTATTTCTATTTCTACTTTGGAAACAGTTATCATCATTCTTCTTTACATTTACCTATCACCAGGAACTGCATACTATAGAACATCACAAACGAACTCTGACAGACGTATGCCATATGGGATGGGAGAAAATCAAGGAGCTCACCAACGTATTCTGTCGGCTGGAACGCGAAATACAGAATAAAGATGATGCACTGGACCTGGAGTATCACGTGAAAGGTCTGGACAGGGAATGTTCAGATATTTCTTATAAGCTGGACCCCACCAGAATACCACCAGAGTGAGTCATTACATCTGATGATAACAATTTGTTCCATTCAGATACCGAAGGCACCGAATAGATAAATTATGAATTACTAACTTTTACCCGCGGCTTTGCTGGCATTGAATCCATTACGTAAACAATTTTTTTTAAATAAAAAGTATCCTATAGTCATTCTAATGACTTCAAGAACATGTGTACAAAATTTCATGATGATCGGTGCAGTAGTTTTGGCGGGAAAACGTAACAAACATAGTATAGTAAGGAATGGTATGTGGCGTAATAGAATGGCAAAATGGAAAATTTTAAATGGATTTAGGATTAAGTCCAAGTTCAAATTCAAATTCAAAAATCATTTATTCATGTAGGACATTTTAGCCGCTTATGAACGTCAAATTTTTACATTCTAATTTTATTTTTTTTCCCTGCCGTCCAGTTCGGTATATAGATCCAGTTGAGTAGAACTGGCAAGAAACTCAATTGAATTACTTTTTTTTTAAAGCCAGTTTATTTACAATGTATATTTATATAGGTGTCTTGTCTTCTCTATGTCTAACATTAAATGAAAATTCAGTGCATGAACAACTATTGCCATGCACACTCGTCATTCAAGTAATCGTTTAGTGAGTAATAGGTTTTGCTCAGTAAATATGATTTAACAGATGTTTTGAATTTATTTAAGGGTAATTCCAACATATCCTTTGGTATCTTATTGTAAATTTTTATACCTATTCCCATAAAAGACCTATTAACTTTTTCTAAACGATACTTGGGGACAGCAAGTTAGTCTTTAAATCTAGTATTAATATTATGAATATTGCTGTTTTTTGGAAATAAGTCAAGATTTTTATAAACATATAGGATATTTGAATATATAAATTGAGAAGCAACGGTGAGAATATTTGCCTCCTTGAATTTCTCTCTTAATGAGTCACGACTCTTCATACAGTAGATCGCTCGAACGGCACGTTTTTGTAATATGAATATATTTTTAATATCTGCCGCTTTTCCCCATAGTAATATTCCATAAGACTGCGCATTCCTTATATTACTTTTTACATATAATAATTTAATACATATTTTACTTAATATATATAATACCACAATGTATTCATCCCTTAATTTATTTTACGCTCTTAATGGTAACATTTTTACATAATTTTTATTTAAATTTAATCAACAGCCTAAAAAAATCTAGAGCTTGATCATTAAAAATGACGATACCTGTATACAAACTTAGAAAGATGAAAATCATCCCTTTCAAACCTTTACAACCCTTTTTTCGCATTTTAAAGTAGCCTATCCTTTCTCAGGGTCTAGAATATCTGTGTATCAAATCTAACAACCCTTTTTTCGCATTCATCTACTACTGTATACCAAATCCCATTTAAATCGGTACAGTAGTTTTGATGTGAAAGCAAGACAGGCAGAGTTACTTTCGCATTTCTAATATTAGCACAAATAATATAATATAATATTAGTAAGGATAGATCAGAGTTAATCTACAGTGCTATTACCCTTATAGCTCCATGTCGGAGAGAAGCTACGTGGAATGCATAGAGAACACCATAAGAATAGCTGAGCAGCTGATGGCGGAGTCAAAGGCATTGCGGGAGACCATGTTCAAAGCGAGAGAACAGGCTAGAAATCAAATGTACGCGCAGTGCCAATTTGTGGAGATGATAATGCGTCGCAGAGTGTATGATATACAAAGAGCCAAGAACGAGATGGAGTGGCAGAAGTTTAAGGTAAGTTTCGTTAGGAATCGTTAGCTTAATAGGTAAGAGCACCGATATCTTCTATTGCTTTCTATTCTGTTCTAGTGGATGATTAAATTGTTTTTTAGGAAACTGGAAACCGCTGATTTGCCATTCCACTAATATAAAAAAAAAATCTCTGTTACTAACAGCACAGATACGATAATATTGCAGATTATGATACAATTTTTCTGTATTATATGATATTTATGTTTATGTATTTTCTGTATATTACCAATATTACTTTTGTATCAGGAATTATCTTTTACGGAAGGTGTTACATATGAATGTGTATGGTATAAGGGCAGAGGAAGGCCAAATAAGAAATGGATGTGTTGTGTGAAAGATGATATGGTAAGAGAGTAAATAACGAGATGACGTCGATGTAAATGGGATAAGGAAGAAGCTAGAAGATGGTGATTGAGCTAGCTAGATGATGGTGATTCTTGTATTAGATTATACATTTTGTTATTTGTATTTTATTTGGTATTTTTTGACATTTTGTTTTTGCACCAGTTACCCACTCAATACGCCTATGTTTTGGGTTGACTGGAAGAGATCTCTTCTAGGCTTAAGTACGCGTTTGCTCATATTGTCTCTAATATATAACATTCTGCGCAAACATAATTACAATCAGATGGTAGTTTTGATATAAAAAAACTATGTCAGTACCAATAATGAGTTATACATTTTCAGCTGGAGAGCAACCTGCAGAAGATGGACAGAGAGATCGAGGCATTGCGGGCTGCCGTCGCCGATAAGATAAACCCAACCAAGCTGGTGGAGACCAGACTGGAGACGAGGACCAGGAGACCGGTGCTTGAAAGAGTACAGGTCAGTTGTCTGAAGAAGTTTTCTTTTGCACATATCCTGGAGAATGGTCTGAAGATAGTAGAAAGAAAATAAGAAAATATGAGAGATAAAACTGATTAAAAAAATCATAATAGCAAAAAATATATATTACTTTAGTTTTTCGTCAGTGCTCTTCGACTGAAGTAGCAAGCTTCTTTTTTTCTTATTTGTTGAATATGTGTAGAAAAAACAATTATTATACGTTATATATAAACTTTAAATCTATAGCACTGACAATATTATCTGATTACATTAATAATGAGTGCGTAGCGACTTCTATGTTGATTATCGCATGCCTCTTACTTGTTATACTGTAATTATTTATATAAAAAAAAACATCTATTAAAAAGAGCAACACACAAGTTTCTTGCTCATTCTTCTTGTGATGAATCTGCATTCCGAATGAGTGGTAGAATCAAAATATGACTATTCAAAAGTGCTTGTAATGAGTTTATTTGAATAAAGATTATTTCTATTTCTATTATAATATAATATTATCTGTCATTCAATAGAGCTTAAAATAAAGTTAACTTAAGTAAAAATAATTTTATGTTAATTAAAACTAACACTAATATCTGTTGACGAACGAATTTCTATTCGATTTAGAATACATCGATCGGTCGCAGGTGATGCGGGTTCGATTCCTCGCACGATGTAAGTCAATTATATTCGTGAGTATGTGTGTTTGTATTGCTCTGGGTGCCTGTTATGTATATTAAGTAGGAATGTCTCAATTTAAGTATTTCTAGAAGTTCTCTAGTACCCAGACCACAAGTTCTACTTAGCTTGGGACTAGATGGCGCAGTGTGAATTGTCCAAGATTTATTGTTGTAATAAAGAAACCTAATATCAATAAACTGTATTAGGACCAACCAATGCGCGGTTTAATAGAAGAATTTGAGAGGGTCCACACAAGCACCAATTTACTCGAGAAGAAATTAGAAGACGCACTGTAAGTATTAATATCATTTATACATGTTGTTGACGTGATGGGGTCGAGACGAGCTGATGATTTGCGGGGGGGAGGGGGAGGGGAGCGTCATGCGCTTGTAGCGTCATCCTCACACGCTGGAAACTAAGTGGTCTCGAACCTAGCACTACAAATTTGGTTTTATCAAGAAGTCTATATTACGATATCTTAATCGGCATCGGCAACGAGCCCGCTTATTGTCAGTATGGTCTACTACGCACCGAGGAGACATATCCTTACGCGACAACTTCGCCGTGGGCTCCTTATTGACCCGACGACCCCATAATGGCAGCTAACCTCTCTACAGGTCCACTCGTCCGGCCCTATCACGCTATCACACACGACACCGTCCTCGCCAGCAAAGGCGACGACCTCACTCACACAATGTGACACCCTAATAGCTGTACAAGAAGTAATTTAGGGTACTTCTTTTTTATTTTAATAAAAAATTGTTAAATTCTGCGCAGGCGAAATCGCGGGTACCAGCTGGTTATTTTCAGTTTCTAATCGTACCGTATCATTAGAACCATAAGGGGCCGTTCAAGTATTACGTAGGCACTATAGGGGGCGGGGGGTCTTTTCTTTGCTTATTTTGGATGACATGGGGGTGGGGGAGTCTGTATGATGATTACGTCATCGGTCGTAAGGTACTTTTTTACACGAATGGCAACCCTCACATTGTCTTTGCTAAAAAAACAATACATTAATTTAGAAATGTTTACGTAAGCATGGGGGGAGGGGTAAGAGCTTTGCTTACTTTTGCTGACAAGGGGGATGGGGGGTAAATAATTGTGATAAATCTGCTTACGTAATACTTGAACAGCCCCTAACGAATCAATTTACAGTAAAACCTACCACGGCATGTACAATCATCACCAACGAGTCATCAAGGACCTGCAGTACAAGAACCAGGCTCTGGAGACCGACCGGCGGCTGATTGAGATACGCAAGCCTATACATGGGACTGATGAAACAGAGTTCCAGAGGAACGTCGGCTACTGCAAGATGGCAGATGAGTTGGTACCAGATTGGTGAGAAAGAGAAGATTACAAATCATTACATAGTATAAAATAATCGCTCTCTCTGTCTGTCCCTATTTATGCTTAACTCTTTAAACTACGCAACGGTTTTTTAAATAGAGTGATTCAAGAGGAAGGTTTATATATATAATACAATTGTACATCCAGGCGTGCCGAGACGAATAGCTAGTATTGAATATGTAGATAATCCCATATAAAAAAAACATTTCCATCATTTCAGTATCATAATCGGCCCATTCGGGGGAAGGGTATTATTAGTAATGGGAACTGGTACCTCCCATTGCTAGCTAGTACCATGTTAGGTCGACCTCCACGCGGTCCCCCTGGAAACCATCGTGATAAATTCTTGGTGAATTTATCACGATGGGCTAACTGACCTGACCTCATGCTCATCCTATCATCCTCCACTGGTGTCCCGCCAGCGTAAACCGTTAGCGCAGGCGGGTGCACCATTCCATTATCATACACAAAAAAAATCGGTCCATTCGTTTAGTATGATGGCCTCGGTAGTCTAGCGGTTTAGCACACCGTCTTACTTTCGATGGTCGCGGGTTCGATTCCTCGCACGGTATATATCATCCACTGGCCGGGCACCACTGGATGACAATAAGATGACAATGAGGTCAGGTCAGTTAACCCATCGTGGCATATTCTCCAGGAATTTAAAATGATGGTTTTCAGGAGGAAACCATTATTTTAAATTCATTATCACCGAGTGGAGGTCATCCTGACATTGACTTCATCCTCTTGATTACCACCAGCTACCAGTGTTCATTGTACGTGCCGAAAATCACTATAATGAGAGTATGTAGAAAATATGGACCTATCGACTTTCAAATAAAGAAAGAACTTAAAATTCACACTGCTTATAATATTAAGTTATATTGAGTTTATTTCAATAAAGATAATTTCTATTTTCGAATAAATCTCAAGAATTTATAATGTAAAAACTTGACGTTCATAAGCGGCTGAAATGTCCTACATGAATAAATGATTTTTGAATTTGAATAATATTCATAATTAAACTGTGGGCCTCGGTGGTTCAACGGTTTATCAAACCGCCTCACATACGATGGTCGCGGGTTCAATTCCTCGCACGGTACAAACGTTTGTATTCATGAGTATTATTGTCTGTATTGGAATTAAAACACAGACCGAAACAAACTTATGAATTCAAATGTTAGCACCGGTGCGAGGACCCGCGACCATCCGAATTAGAGTTGTGTTAAACAGTTAGACCACCGAGACCGTCATGTATGGGAGGACAAGTATTTTAATGTCCGAAATAAACATTTTTTTTTTTTATCTCAGGACAATTCACACAGCGCCATCTAGACCCACGTTAAGCTACCTAAAGCTTGTGTTATGGGTACTAGATAACTGATACAAGTACATAGATTTTTTTTTTTCATAATTACATACATATTATACATGGAAAACACCCAGACCGATACAAACAATCATACTCATGAATACAAATGTTTGTGCCGTGCGAGGAATCGAACCCGCGACCATCGGACGTAAAGCGGTGTGCTAGACCGCTATACCACCGAGGTCGTCAAACATCTGCAATTTATTATACAACTTTATTGATAAAAGATTAATTACATTAATATAGATTACTGTAGCAACATTAACAATGCTTATGTACTTAGTAAACGATAATATTGTATTAACGTGGGAAGGTGATTGTTAGTAATGTGGATTGATAACCCCATTGCTAGCAATGTACCATATCAGGTCGACCTCCACGCGGTTCCCCCTGGAAACAATCGTGTTAAATTCCTGGTGAATTTGTCACGATGGGCTAACTGACCTGACTTCATGCTCATCTTATCATCCTCCACTGGTGCCCCGCCAGCGTAAACCGTTAGCGCAGGCGGGTGCACCATTCCATTATCATCCATAAAAAAAAATTGTATTAACAATGCTTATGTACTTAGTAAACATTCAATTGATACTAGCACCTTAATTAAACATCAACCAAACATTAACACATGCAATTTTACACCATCCGCTTACTAATATTATATATGTAATTTAAAACTATTTATATGTATTCATACATTATTATTTCATACATTGACATGAACTGCCATTCACCAGCAAATAATACAAATATAATAATTTTGGTATCGTTTAATAAAATTTATTATGTATACAAACATTTTAATACGATTTGTGACAAAGTTTAAATACTTCGAGGATTGCCTTATTGTAACATAATATAAAATAAAAAATAATCTATACATATAAATATAATTGGAGTTTATTTCTATTTCTATTTCTTTCTTTCTTGTGATGAAACAGCTTGAAGTAAAAATGACTGATGACTATTCAAAAGTGCTCCAATGTAAGTGTATGTATATTGAATAAATGATTTTTTATTCAATTCTAGTATAAAATTATTCGTGTTAAAACCCATTTAACTATATTAATAATATGTATTACATGAGAACATTAAAAATAAGCAATAAGTTTTAGATACTTAGTTTTAAACACTGTATATTTTCTGTTAACGCCTGCATGTTTGTTAAAGGCAATACTTATGTTATTCGTAGGCAGATGGCAGCGTACTTTTGTTTTATTGCCTCCGTCATAAAATTTTTATCATATTGTCTATGACCTAAGTAAAATAACATTTTTTATATCTCGCCAAGAAATATTATTATACAAAAGAAAATATATGTTGAATCAAGATAATTAATTTTATTTATATCAAGAAATACAAATCTTAATATATTCTTTTATTTACTATTATTACATCTTACTGTTATTGCTATAAATAAATGCAATTTAAAGGAAAATATCATAAAGACTGTTTTATTTTTGACGCGGTCATTATTTAATAATATAGTCAGTAAAAAACACGGAATCTTACCATGTTTTTTTTTATTGAGTTCACGATATATCGGCAGTGTTTCTACCGTTGATTCTGGATAAAATCTCATTTTATCTTTAGATATAGAAAAAGAGTGGTAAGATCTTGTTATTTTTTACTAATTATCATAAAGATTATATTACAAATAGAATACAAAAATATCTTAAATGAATACATTTTATTTTACAATTTATAAGCAAATAACATTACACATAAGCTTTCATAATTAAATGTATTACGCCGACCCCAAATAAATGGGATAAGGAAGAAGCATTTAAAGGATCTATTGAATTATTTAAAATATAAGAGTAGAATAATATATAATTTGTATATCAAATTCAGGTAACTGATATTTAATAAATAATTATTCCTTACTAATATTATAAATGCAAAAGTAACTCTGTCTGTCTGTCTGTCTCGCTTTCACGCCGATACCACTGAACCGATTTATAAAAAATTTGGTACACAGAAAGTCTAGACTTTGACAAAGGACATAGGCTACTTTACAATGCAAAAAAGGGGGTTGTAAGGGGTTGAAAGGGGATGAAAGATTATATGTAAGTATCGTCATTTTACAGGAACGAAGTCGCGGGAACCGCTAGTCTTGATATTTCAAATCTCAATAAAATGCTGATTTTTTTACACTTTAACTTGACGCTAAGAAAATATTTTGTAATACGTATAATAGTTACATAGAATAACGTAGTATGTTAAAGAATCTGCGTGAACAAAATTGAATATACATATTGTTCCACAATCGTAATGTTTCATTTCAATAACTTCATTATAAACTCAACACTATGATTCTATGTTTGTGTTTTACATTCTTGATAGAACTAGATAACTAATATTATAAATGCAAAGTGCGTTTGTTGTATTCACATTTTTTCCTTATCAATGTGTGATACATTGACATGTGTTTGTGTGTGTGTGAATGAGAAAGGAAAAAAACAGTTCACGGGCCATGTGACCCCAAGTTTCGTGTACTGCTCGGAGTTTCCCTCTCTGCCACACGATGGATCCGGCTCATTTGTTTCAAATTTAGTCAGGTTAGACAAAACGTGTGAAACAAATAATAATGATTGAAAAAACAGTGTAAACTCATTTAATAATAATAATAATTTTAATTTTGTATCCAATATTTACAATTTAAATTGTTCTTTGGTACCTACATAAACTAAATAGAAACTTGTGTTTTAGGTATCAGTTCCCTCCTCTTACAATTCACAACTATTGGGATTACGAATTACAAAAAGACAATCAAATAAGGTATTAACTTAAGCTTATTATCATTTACTTGCAGTGTGTGTGTGTGTGTGTGTGAGAGAGAGAGAGAGAGAGAGAGAGAGAGAGAGAAAGAGAGATAAATATTAACCTTTCGAATGTCCGTCATCTGTCGCAGCGACCGAGAGTGAAGAGGGGGTATGCACGCACCAGTTGTATTTTTTCAAATACGTTTTAAACCTAATTTGGTTTTAAATAAGGATAAAATTGGTTCAAAAGAAGTCACGGTTTTGCGGGCACAGATCTCTGACAAGGGGGTAATACGGTTTAAGAGGGGTGCACAGATCTGTGTCAAAACGTTCAAAGGGTTAAGCTTATCATCATTTACTTGCTGTGTGTACACACACACTGCAAGAGTGTGAGAGAGTCTCATTCTCACACACACACACACACTGCAAGTATATTAATACAGCAATAAATATTAATACGGAGACACTAACACTGAAATTTTTCAAAATAGATTACGCAACTGGTTAATTGAGAGATGTTTTTATACAGTAAAAGAATTTTTAAATTTTGATGGTAAAATGAGTTAAGAGTTGGATTATATTAATATAATAGTAATGACACAACAGTAATAATATTGACATATAATGACTAAATAATAATATAGATATAATAATTTCTTAAAATTGTATAATATAATAATGTAATATGCTATCTGAAAGACAGAATTGTGTAATTATTTACAGAAGCATAACTAATATAAAATTTTGCATGTCTTCATATAAGACGGATTGTATGGAACCATATGTACCCACTTTATAACATCTGTGCACACCACATTTCTCGCAAAATAAAATCATTTCATTTCATTTCATTTAGTATTTCAGTTTTCATACTCAAGAGATTTTAGCCATTTCAAAATAATATTTTTTATATCATGATTACATGTTCATAATGTTACATATTCTTTAACTTATCATAATGACATTTCATTAACCGAGTTTTCACTGCAGTCAATTTTAATCAGGCTAACTACTATATTCAAAATATTCGAGACAAATAGGATTTGTTATTATTACTATCCGACCCGGCCAAAGACAAGAAAATAATATTGCGAGTACAAATTGAGATGTAAGCTATCCTATCTTTCAAGTTGGATCAAATTGCTCACAATCGCAAATCAAATTTGCAATCGGTTAAGTAGTTAGGAGTCCATCACGGACAAACAAGGTGAAACGTAATTTTTATGCCTATATAAAGATGTTTAAAATACATATAAAACTTTAAACAAAACTATGTACTTCTAACTTACAGTAATCTCAAATCAGGTTTAGGTCCCACCTTCTCATAGGCCTCGTCTAATAACGAACATACTAACGTTATGTTGTCGTCATTTAGTTTCCTACTTGAGGCCAGCCTTATGGACGGCTCTGGACAGTTCCTCTCGGCGTCTCTAAGGTAAGCAGCAGGTGTTAACGCCACTCCTTTTTCGAGGCAATAGTTGGTGATGCTTCGAAGGTAGCTGTGCTTCAGACGGTCGGTCAAGTCATCCTTCAGGTATATGTGTTTTATTGGAGATACCTCATCACCTCTCACTCTGAAGTGCTTCAAACTTGATAAAGCCCTAAAACATATTATTTTACATTTTACTTATGGAAAACAAAAATATGAACGTTCATATTGTTAAAACAAAGGAAGAAAGAAAGAAAACATTTATTATCAACCATTATTAACTTAAATATACTTATATACAAATAGTGACATTTTTGTAGAAATACAGGCAAAATGGTGGTTTATGGTGTCCATAAACAGTTACATACAATCACACTATACTACACATTATGAAACAGTTTTAGGTAATACAGCTAGTATTAAACCCGATAAAAGTTATTTTGCCATATAAATTAATATCGTTATTAAAAACCCCCACAGAAATTCAAATCTGTCACGATAGGCAAACTGACCTGACCTCATGTTGATCTTATCAACATGAGGTCTGGTCCTCAGGCGGGAGCATCATTCCATTATCATCAATTAAAAAATAAAACATTAAAAATTAAAATTTGAACAAAAATATTGAAATTTTTTTGTTCAAATTTCAAGTTTTCATTCATGTGTTTGGTGACGGATATCACTTCAGGTGGTACGTTTGCAACTATAGTTACATAAAAAAAAAAAAATACATACAACGGTGGAGACTTACCTGTTCAGCTTCCTACTGTTCACATCCAGCTCACTAATAACGCCCGGATTCTCCTCTAATACATCGAGGGCAGTAATAGCTGCTTGCGTTAACATCGGAGGTAAAGATGCACTGAAGCAATAACCTGGAAATATCGTAAAAATATATAATTTTTATTGCACACTAAAAAAACAAAAATAGTATAAATTCATACAGAGCCCTCTAGGCCGAAGTTAAGGTAACTAAAGCTTGTGTTATGGATATTAGATAACAGATACAAATACATAGATATTATTTTCGTAAATACATACATATTATACATAGAAAGTTCCCAGACTGATACATACAATCATACTCATGAATACAAATATTTGTGCCATGCGAGGAATCGAACCCGCGACCATCGGATGTAAGGCAGTGTGCTAAATCGCTATACCACCGAAAATGTCAAATTCAGGCTACTTAATATTACTAATATATTAATATTGACCATATTTACATAGTAGAAAACAAAGTTGATGTTTGTTTGCTTATATCTTTTTAATTACAAATGGATTTTAATGCATCCGTGCAAAGCCGTGACGGGTCGCTAGTATTAATACTTAGCTCTAAAAAGTTTGGGAAACACTGGTCTAATGTATATAATACATATTACCTTACAAAAATTCTTACGCCGCCATATATCAATAAAATATATATATATAAATCTATAGATTACAAAACATAAACATACTAATATGTATGATACATATTAGCCTTTCTAAAATTCTTACGCCGCCATATATAAATAAAATATATATATAAAAATCTAATAGATATAGATTACAAAATATAAACATACCTAATCCAGAAAGCCTTTGATGTTCCACAATGTAGTGGGTGCCGGCACAGAATCCGCCGATAGTTGCGAATGAATGCTCCAACGAGCCCATAATCAGATCTATTTCATCTCTGGGTATGTTTAGATGCTCTGTTATACCTCTGCCGTGTTTACCCAACACCTGAAATGTACAGTAAAAGGTAAATAATATATTCTTTATTAAACAGATAATACTTTGATAGTATAATTTAGAGACAATAGTGGACTTATCCCTAGAAGAGAGCTCTTCCAATCAACCCAAAACAGTAGCATAGGTGGTATTGAGTGGGTTTTTTTTTGGGGATGATAATGAAATGTTGCACCCGCCTGCGCTAACGGCTTACGCTGGCGGGGCACCAGTGGAGGATGATACGATGAGTATGAAGGTCAGGTCAGTTAGACCATCGTTACAAATTCACTAGGAATTTATCACGATGGTGTCCAGGGGGAACCGCGTGGAGGTCGACCTAACATGGCACATTGCTAGCAATGGGAATTACTCCAATTCCCCCCGGTATTGAGTGGGTAATAACTGTGTATATTCCCTCATGACATGTGCTACCAAATGGGATAGGCAGATGTAAGATCAATAATCGTTATTATAAAGTGGAAGGAATTGTTTTTTTGTAAAGATGATATAGGAACGCTGAAGAGACACCAGTCGAGGATAATACGATGAGCATGATGTCAGGTCAGTTAGCTCATTGTGACAAATTAACAAGGAATTAATCAGGATGGTTTCCAGGAGGTACCTCATGGAAGTCAACTTTACATGATATATTGCTAGCAAAGGGTCAATAATCCACATTAATAACAATCGTCTGTCCCCCAGAAATATAATAAAAAAAAAGAAATCTCAGGACAATTTACACAGCGCCATCTAGACCCAAGTTAAGCTAGCTAAAGCTTGTGTTATGGATACTAGATAACTGATACATATACATAGATTTTTTTTGTAAATACATACATATTATACATAGAAAACACTCAGACCGATACAAACAATCATACTCATGAATACAAATGTTTGTGCCGTGCAAGGTATCGAACCCGCGACCATAGGTCGTAAAGCAGTGTGCTAGACCGCTAGACCACCGAGGTCGTCGAATATAATTGCGACTGGAAAGTTTTTTTACGAAAGACGAAGTATAACCTCGCATGTTTTCTTTGAAAATTAATCTATAGATTATTGGATTAAAAAAAAATCCTTCGCACAATAATTCGAATATTCCTAGCGACCACAATGCAGCGATAATTGCTTTATAATTCATCTAATTTGGGTGGGCGTAGACATTGACCTATACAGCTATAATCAAGTTTCCAATGCAGCTGTTCTCCAGAGATACATCAAATCATTATACAAATTATCGAGTTTTTTAACCATACAGTTTAGCAGAAGTATGTTAAAAGTGCAAAGTAATGTATGTAATAAGGAATTTACTGGCATAATCGAATGTTGCAATCACTTGCTTTTATAGTTAGCAAACATTATGGTACAAATCAGGTCATACCATAAGTGGTATAAAAACTAGTGTTAATTAATAGATAACTAGTTTGTACCCACTACTTCGTCCGAGTTATCGGAATAATTTTATTGCTAGTAGTAAAAAGTAGGAGAGAGGACAGAGAAGAATCTAGTTCTTTGACCTAGTGTACTATATATACTGTGTAAGCAGAAGCGCCAATCATAAATGTGACATGTTTTGGCGCATCCCCCAAACAGTATCTATATATAGGATTGTTAGTAATGTCTAGAAAATGTGTTTATGCACGGGACATGTTATGAAAGTTTTAAAACTGAAGTTATGTATATGGATAGCTGCCCAAACCAATGTTTAATTTTGTCACATATGTAAATATGTTTTTAATATTTCCCAGTTGCTATGTGTGGGTAACATTTGTTAGTTGTATTCACATAGAATGTTAAAAATTTAAAGATGAATAACATTTCCTTAAAAGAGAAACACGCAAGTTTCTTGCTCATTTTATGAGTGTAAAATAGAAAATGACTATTCAAGAGTGCTAAAATGAAATTATTTTGATCAAGGTTATTTCTAGTCTACTGCATCGTATTTTTTCCACACTGTGATGTGAATCTGGTATTTTATTCAAATTCATAAAATTCTAAAATTATTTATTTAAGTTGTTGGAGCCTCATTTTAAGCATAAAAATGCCTGTGCTAGGAGGCTCCACTCTTCCATAGCTTATATAGTATAGTAAGTTTTGAACAATATTTACAAGTCATTATATTTATTTCCTAACTACTACGACTTCGTCAGCGTGGAATTTAACTTTTTATAAATACGGCGCATACACCAAAATAACATTTTTTACAATTTTTGTCTGTTTATTCCGGCTGATCTTTGAAATGGCTGGTCCGATTTTAAAGAGACTTTTTTAGCAGATAGCTGATGTAATAAGGAGTAACTTAGGTCCCTTTTATTTTAGAAAAATAAAGTTAAATTCCACACCGACAAAGTTGCATACATATGGGTATATCTAGTGTATAGATATAATTTAATTTTAAAGGCATACATTATAGGAGTGTGACTGAATATGCACGACTTGATATGAGAATTCAGTGTGTGTGTATTTATTATTAGACGACCTCAGTGGTCTAGCGGTCTAGCACACCGACCGATAGTCGCGGGTTCGATTCCTCGCACGGCACAAACAATTGTATTCTTGAGTATGATTGTTTGTATTCATCTGGATGTTTTCTATGTATAATATGTATGTATTTACAAAAAAAATATCTATGTATATGTATCAGTTATCTAGTATCCATAACACAAGCTTTAGCTAGCTTAACTTGGGTCTAGATGGCGCTGTGTGAATTTCTATTTCTATTTCAAAAGTATAACTCACCCCAATAGATAAACTTTCGTCCAGCATGATCCGCAACTTATATTTCCTCGCTAACTCTACCAGTTTCTTCAACGGACACATCTCTCCAGTATTCATGTAAATAGCTTCAGCAACGAGGAATGCCCGTCTGCGGGAATTCAGTTCCTTTTTCTTGTTCGCCTCGGACAGAAGTTCCTCAAGGTGGTTCATATCATTGTGTCTGAAGTATCGTATAGTGCTGCGGGTAGCATCAAGCCCTTTTTGGATGGCGAACCAAACATTTTCATCACTGAAATAATAGTGTACAAATAAAACAACTGATAAGAATTAGGTTTTCACTTAAGAGTCCTAAAAATGTATTAACATATAATATATTATAGGAGGCTGTTACCAGAGGTTGGCCCCCTCTGGTAAAGGTAAAAATATTCCGTAAAAACATATAATCATTTGTATATCTGGCCATAGCAAAAAAAAACACAAAAATATAAAAATATAATATGTTAGAAAAATATGTATTAAGTGGAAGTTTAAAACTATAATAATAATAAATAATATATTAAGTATATAAATAAATAAAATTGAATTTGTGTTATAAAGAAAATATCTTCATGCTTGATCCCTGATAGAGTACACTAGGAGACTGTCCAGGCAGATACAATGGCAGAGCTTATCCAGAGTTACCCCTTATGAAACTTTTTCAACTTATCCATGAAATTAATTAATGAAAATCTGAAATTAAATTATTATTCATAGGAAATGGCGTGGTGGCAATGATGTGGCGTTTATGATTTTAAAACTTAAGTTTATGTGAACAGCAACTTAAAAACTACCCTATAATAAATTAAAGTATTATATTAATTTTATTCTTTATTAAAAGATCAAAAGAATTTACTTACACAAATATAATATCTCCACGCTTAGCGTAAGAAGGTATAGCACTTGATATTGTTGAAAACCCGTAAGAGTAGACCGCTGTTTCCTCCACCTCCAGGAACTTTGCCAATCGCTCTTCCAACTCTAAATGTACATCAATAGTGCCATAGAAACCTCTAGGTCCACAAGAACCCACGCCGTATTTGTCTAAGGCTTTCAATGAACTCTCTATTATAGATTCTTCATTGTTAAAGCGAAGAAAGCTGGTTGCACCAACATTCAGTACTTTATCATCAATTTTTCCCATTAACGGTGGAGTTTCCATCATAATATCCTGCTCGATCAGTGGTTGTGGACTCCATTCCATGGGTCTTCCGTTGCATAGAGGATCGTAGGATTTCGATTTCTTCTTCGTCCATAGAAAATACATGGAGCCCAGTATCACTTGGACTGCTATTACTAATGTCCACCAACTCGCCTACAAATGACAAATATATATATATATATTAATAATAACCTGTGTCGATACACACAGTCTTAAATAGTTTCAAACTAACCAGAGTTTGTACTATGACTACAAGTAACAATAGACAGTCGGACAAATGTACACATGAATAGAAATATTTGTATCTCGCGAGATAGAACCTGAGACCATCGCATGAAAGGATGGAGGAATTAAATATATATAAAATTTATAACTATACACTCACCATATCATAAATGTCGACTAGGATCATGGTTATTTGATATATTTAAAATTTGGATTAAAGTTTTGTGGTTATACTTTTAAGAGAATATCAACAGATTACTGTCAACAATATAATAACCACAAACTAGATTATACTACAAATATAATCTCAGGAGTATAGGAGTTACCCTAATTTGTGTAATGAAGAAATTATAGATTTAGAATGAAAACCAAGAATAAACAAACACTCAATAAATTGCTGTATTACAAATAACATATCCAATAATTCAATTCAACTATCATATCGTCTTTGGAAGAGAAAATATTTAAATAATAACGATACTGATAGAAAAATTCCTATTCGTATTAGTAATGTATTTTAATAAATCAGGAAATTGAAGTAGGTAATAAAGTTTGTGATTTTGAGTAAGCACAGACAATGATAATTTAAAAGTGTGACGTTAACATTTAACAGCGCAGATCAATGCAATAACTGAAGAAAAAAACATGCCGAAATAGCAACCAAACCCAATTTACTTACTACATTTTAAGTAATAACATTAGTTACATTAGAATAAACCTTAAATATAAAATGCATTAGTGTAAGTATTGTTCTTAATATTGAATAAATAATAAAACACATAATTTTGTTTTACAAGTAATTGTTTTACCACTTTGCGTAGATAGAGAAAAGCAGTACTGTCATGTAGATGTCAAATATATTGTATAGTCTTAGTTATCACTGTCATTGTCATATTAAGTTTTATATTTGCTGTCTTTCATTTATTTATATATCTAAATAAATCTGAAATTAATAACAAAATTGTTAATAGTTAATTATATTTAGTCTAAACACATTAGAATATGAATTTCGCTGGTACATTAAGAATAAACAAGTTTGCTTGTTTCACTTTAGTATTTATACTTTTTCTCATTATTTATTGGCGATCTGGCGGTGCCAATTACACGACGGATAAAAGTGATTTTATCAATTTGAAAAGTTTACTTAAAGCTGCTATTTACGCGGCCGAGCGTGGCGGTAAGAAGATTATAGAGGGTAAGAATCGTGAATTAAATGTGAAAAGCAAAGGGAAAACGCTAGAAGGCGCAAACGACCCAGTGACCGATGCCGACTATGCGTCTCATTGTGCGATGTTCTATAGCCTTAAGAATACGTTTCCGAAGTTAACAGTGATATCTGAAGAGCATTCGAAGGGAGACCCGAGCTGTGAGCATCAAGAATTGCTGGAGATAGACAATGCGCCGGCAGAACATAAAGTTATAGAGCATTTGAATGATGAACAAATTTTAATTAAAGATGTCACTGTGTGGATTGATCCCTTGGATGCAACTCAGGAGTATACAGGTATAGGATTATGGAACTACTGCTTTTGTTTTTTTTTTATTTAAGTACCTAATTGGAATGGCAAAGGAAACTGATGGCTCACCTTATTGAAAGTGGCAACCCATAATGTGCTTCAATACATTAATAGAATTCTCAAAGGTTTCTATTCCTGATGACTATGTTGTTATCCCTCTATACACTATGATATTGCTATCAGGGGGAAAGGGGATTGTTAGAAATGTGGACAGATGACCCTATTGCTAGCAATGTACAAGGTCAGGTTGACATGGTACATTGCCGGCATTGATTTGTCACGTGAATTAGTCACGACTAACTGACCTGACCTCATACTCATCTCATCGTCCTCCACTGGTGCCCTACACAGCATAAACCGTTCACACAGTTGGGTGCACCATACCATTGTCATCCATTAAAAAAATATCACTATCACCTTTCAATTTTAGTATAAATCCTTTTTACCAGTAAACAGCCAATAAATATGAAGTGCCTACAAATTTTCTCCATTTCCTGCTATAGTGTATAGTCTTATATTATGACTAGCTACCCACCCCGGTTTCGCACAAGTGTACATGTATTATATATATAAACCTTCCTCTTGAATCACTCTATCTATTACAAAATTTGCTTCAAAATCTGTTGCATAGTTTTAAAGATTTAAGCATACATAGACAGGGACAGACTGCGACAGCGACTTTGTTTTATGCTATGTAATGATAACAAAGGAATTTCATGTCAGGGGAGTATTTAATTTAGTTTTTTAATTAATACAAATTTTTTTCTTACTGCATATTTATTTAATTCAGGCTACCAATGACCCATATTATAAATAACTTAGGGACTACGATATGACAGACATACATATGAATATTATTAAAATTAATAAAATAAAAAGCCTTTATTGCTATACTAATATTTTTACATTTGGTTAACATTATTATCGATAAATGGTATAGCTTGTCCTCCAACATAGGCCGCCTCTAAAGATTTCCATTCTGTCCTGTCCATTGCTTTACAAGTCCATATTGGACCGGCTATTTTCCTGATATCATCTTCCCATCTTACTTTCTGTCTACCTCTATTTCTTTTACTGTCTCGTGGATACCATTCTGTTATTATTCTTATCTATTTCTCTTCAAAATTAATAGAAAAAAATAAATATAAATTGCATATAGGTACATCGTACTTTTGTGAGGAAACTCCTTTTTCCCACTTGAAATTTTTCTTAATTGTGATCATATTTTCAGAGGCTCTATATCAATATGTGACGACCATGGTGTGCGTGGCCATCAGGGGAGTGCCTGTGATTGGTGTCATCCACTTTCCATTCCCACCGCGCACATACTGGGGCTGGATGTTTAAGAAAACCTCATCTAACATACCTACTGTACAACATGTAAGTACCATGTAATCTTTTTAAATGCTTTTTTAGATAGTGGAATGGTGCATCTAGCAGCTTTTATACACTACTAGCTGTACCCGCGACTTCGTCCGCGTAACTAATGAAAAAATATTTAACTCAAGTAACACAATATAAGTCAAATAAAAGTTTCATCGTTTTAGCTTCAAAAATAACGATACGAAAATTCCATAAAATTCAATCAACAGCTTAAAAAATAAGTTTCAAACTTCTAGCTTCAAAAACAACGAATTTACATAAATACTTGCATCCTCTATTTCATTTTACCCTCTTAAGAGTAAATTTTTTACAAAAAATGAATGTCATATTTATTTATATTTAATCAACAGCCCCTAAAATAAGTTTCATGCTTCTAGCTTCAAAAATTACAATTCTTCCATACAATCATTCAAGGGATTCTTTTAACCCCTTACAACCCATTTTTCGCATTAAAAAGTAGCCTATATCCGTTCTCAGGGTCTAGATTATCTGTATACCAAATTTCATTCAAATCGCTTCAGTAGTTTTGGCGTGAAAGCGAGACAGACAAACAGAGTTACTTTCGCATTTATAATATTAGTAAGGATCTATGGAAAGTTGTAATTCATTTAGAAAAAAAAATTGAAAACTCTAAATAAAAAGCACCAGTTTCTTACCAATTCTTCTCAAGAGAAGTGACATGCACAAGAGGCTGAAAGGTGCTAAGTTAATAAATAAATTTGAGCTGAAGTTTATACAATATTTCTTCACTTATAAAATTTTTCTGTATGTTTACAGAAAGAAGAAAACAAAGACCAACCAAGAGTGACAGTATCCAGATCGCATCCCGGTAAAGTGGCGGAAATTGCAAAAGATGCATTCGGACCGAAGACCGTGGTGACACCAGCCGCTGGAGCTGGTTATAAAGTGATGGCTGTGGTGAATGGCACTTACGACGTCTACCTTCACGCCACTGCCATCAAGAAGTGGGATTTGTGCGCTGGAGACGCTATCATAAAAGCTGTCAATGGCAAAATGACGACAGCTAATGGCAATTTAATAACGTACGGCCCAAATGAAGATGTGAAGGTTACAGACGGTCTTCTAGTCACATTGTATGATCATGACTACTATTTGAGTAAAAAGCCTAAAGTGTTATCAGCAATGCCTTAGATGTGCCAAAATATTTTTTTTCAGGAATATTTGACGTTATTTTGTTGAAAATTATTTTTAATTTGGTTGTATGGTATGGATTATGTATTACTCTCTATTATGAGTGTATTAGTAAACTAATACTAACAACTCCTTTACGTCTTCGATCCAGTTTAACAATACATGTATTATTAATGAATAATACTTATTTTAACTGACTCCAAAAAGGATTGTTCATTTGATAATGACATTTATTTATGAGTTGGCATCTATATATACATATAGATATTTATAAGTATTGTAGTTACTCTTCATAATCAAATTTCCTCATTATGTAGAATATATTTTGGATGAGTAATAAAAATAAAAAGTCCAGTGAAGCTGTAAAGGCCACGGTCAGCATTATAATAATTCGCAAAAGAAAGTACGTACGAAAAATTTAAATGGTATGGTTTGTATTGCAAAATTCAAATATTCTATTATGGTACACAGGGGCGGATCTATCTAACAGCTTTTTGGGCTGCAGCCCAGGGCCCCGAGGATACAAAGGGCTCCACTCCCCACTGAAACGATATTTAGAATATAAAAAATATCTAGAATGTTAAAAAAACCTATCATAAGGTTGGCAACACTGATATCAATCTACCCATGCAAGTGCGCATCTATTGAAAGGAACGGGGAATTTCTGGTCGTTTGTTTTTGGTCGGTGTATTTTTTTAGTTGAGTAATATAATTGGGTAGATGCTTAAGTAGATTTAGCCCAGGGCCCCAAATTCATGATCCGCCCCTGATGGTACATATAAAAAAGGCTGTGATTTTGAAAATGCATAATATCTTTTTGGTATTTTGTGTAATTATTTAATCGATTAAGGTCTAGTTAAAATAGTGCTCAATTATTTTATCTGATAATACAACAGCAGTTTCCCCTGTTTTAGGGTTCACTTCGAGGGCATGGTGTGTAGCGGTATAGCACACCGCTTCATTTCCGATGGTCGCGGGTTCAATTCCTCGCACGGTACAAATATTTGTATTCATTAATGTTTTTTTCGAACGGTCTGGGTGTTTTCTATGATTATTAGGTATGTATGTATTTACAAAAAAATATCTAAGTATATCTATCAGTTGTCTAGTACCCAACATCAGTTGTAGTTAGCTTGGGACTAGATGGCGCTGTGTCTAAGGATATTACTTATTTATACCAAGGTAGACCTTAATTAAAAAGGTCTAAGGGTAGCTAAGTCTTACTAGAAATAACAGGATATATATGTACAATGTATGTATGTATCCGGGATGGCAATGCATGAGTGGTAAACTGAGCGTCACATGGTAACGTGATGTTCGTAGTTTCATGCAACGGTTATCATTTACCTTAAAGTGAGCTGTCAGCTTGTGTCATGAATTTTAATCATATTGTTTTTATTTATTATACAAAAATGATTAAAATTCGTAATTAATGGAGCTACAATTTACGTAAAACGTTCACGAATTAACCTGTGCTCACATTGTTGACTTCTGCCCGGACGGATGGGCCAATATCGATTGGCGCATTTCTAAAGAGGGGAGGGCTTTTATTATAGCAATATTAATAACATTATATTTTTATTTAATTAATTTTAATTGCTTTATTTTATATATCAATTACAACTAAATATTATTTAAAAAATTATAATACATTTAATAATTGTTAACTAATGTGAAGAAATTTAAAACTAGGCCGTACGGCTTAAGGTTCTTTGCCTGTTCCATCAATAAAAAAAAAGAGAGGAGTGTGAGGGAAATAAATAATAGTACAAAAAGCATAATAATGTTACAGAGCATATTAATGTATTGTTTTATTCTTAGACGATTGTCTTCAAATAATTGATTTCTGAAAATATTAAGCACTATTTTGGTTCGACCTTATATTGTGTTGTAAAATGAAGTACATACATTCATATCTCTACTTAGACTTAAAAATTCTAAGTATTTTTCTAAAGTGCATTATTGTTTAAATTATATAGTTGGATATTTGTAGTCACATGACAGCCCAATATAGGATTGTACATAATTCCTTTGTATAAATATAAATATTTGTGCAATACTCAGATGCAATAAAAAATGTAATTGATGATGATATAGAAATATGCAATTATTAAAAATATGTTAGTTTTTTGTGAGTGAATAATTTAATCAAAATTAAAACTAAACACTTCCAGACTTACATACTACCTATTTGAAAGTATTAAATAGTGACTGCAATAGGAACGTACAATAAATATTACTATACTCACTGCAATTTATCAACACCACACTGGGTAAAGATATGTTATAAAAACAGTAAGGTACTGGCAATAAATAGATTAAAAAAAAGAATAATTCAAATATTAAAATATATAGAATTAAAAGGAAATAAACGTACGCTACAAAACAAGAAACCATTAACAGTCCTTTTTAGAAACAATTTAGTATAAGCTGGACCTATGGATACAACTAACAATGATTGGTTGATTATGCGCCAGACTACCGTTTAGATCTAAACATTTGCAGACTTAAAAACTATGGCGACACAATTCCGATAAGAATCGGACGGCTCGTGCCGTTGTATTGGCATTCATTAGTGCATTGATTGTTACGCTCAGCCCTGTTTAGAAATGCGTAAATGAAACGGCGTAGTCAGCACGAGTCGCTGCATGTTATCGGAAATGTGTTGCCAATATTGTAATGTTGGTAAGATTTTGAGGCATGTAGTTTGATATTGTGCTTTTTAAATGCACGTATATATTTATTGTGGCGTAGGAATATGCGGATAGAAAGTGTTTAGTTATTAACTCGTTTGTTCTGTGACGATTTTTATGTATTAATTTATTTTATTTAATAATAAATTTTTATTTATTGACTACCTATGTAATGAAGTTCTTAGTAAATATTAAATATACACCGTAGGAGTAAACATTGACTGCAAACAAAGTGAAGGCAAAAATACTACATTCTTGTAGTTTACAATGTCGGCTTATAAACCCCACAGGTTGTAAGTTCCAATTTGGTCGGTAAGAGAACTTGTATCAGTTTATATTCTAGGCAATAGAAACACCGATAACAAACATAATGTTTGTGGTGAAATAATAATAAATTTAAGCACGAAATTAACACTTTACAATGCTTTTGCCTACTCTATTACATACGGGAGAAGCATATTGGATGCAGTGCCAGTAGTTGAGACATCTTATAATAATTATTATTTGCTCACTTTTTCTACCAAATTTTAATATAAAAAAATATTCGTTATGTATATTAGATACTACAAGTTTTTGTCCAGTGTAGTTTTTAATTGTAGGTAAAAATTATGGTAAGTGCATATAACAGCACTTAAATATCAGCATAAAAACTAAATCAGTCTTTCCTATAGATTTTATAATTGTAAATATAATGTCGTAGGTATTTGATTATTTTCATAAAAATTAAAGTATTAAATGTGTGTTTTAATTTTTATCACCACCAAAAATTAATACTGACCGTTCTATTCTACAAATTTTAAATCGGTATAACGCGCTTATACAGGTTCAAATTTTTTGAAGAGATTGCTTAATTCTGTGTACGGGAAGCGGCTGAATATAAACGTAGCATTACGCTACGTTTACATTCAGCCGCTTCCCCTGCCACTCGCGCTGCCGGAAATATTGCCGGGCGACAACTGAGCGAGGGCTGAATGTAAAAACACGCTGCCAATCCTTTGACTCGCGCACGAAAAATCGACCATCGAGGGAGCGCCGGGCAGCGCGAGCGGCAGCGCCAATGGCATGGGAAGTGTTTCCACTCGTGTTTACTCTCTCGTGCTGCTCACTTCCCTACCCAGTAAAAGTGAGTGTAAATTGGGCATAAGATACTTATGAAGTAAAGTTTTCGGTTTTAAATATATGAAATATAAAATTTTATATAATATATAAAACTAAATATATATATATAATATATAAAATTCTTAGTTATCAGCCTTATTTCGAATTTGATTCATCATCATTGATACTCTGATAATTTCATAATTTTACAAGGTAGACCCTGTACAAAGTCGTCTGCGTACCTATAAATAGCGATGAAGGAAATATGGCAATCGATAGGGCTTATTATCCTCATTCGAAACTGTTACAAACATGTTTTATTACACCGCTACTACTAGTATAGTAGTATTAATATTTCAACAGTAAAAAATAATATTGCTCTTGTATGGAACACACAAGGAGTTAGGCGATTTAGCTTTGAATTGTACTCTTGAACTAAGGCTGTTGAAATTATGTTGGTTCTATGGAACTATATTCTTCCACTCCACGAACACGTCCATAAAATTGCAGCCCAAGAAGATATATGATCAAATTATTCCCTAAAGGTCTATATTCAGATTTAGATTAAATGTATGGATACATTTATATATAATTTGTTGAGTGCGGAATTTCATTATCATTTGAGTCACAGTTAGTGACCAAATGCGTATGTTTTATTTTATAGTATAGGGGACAAATAATATAACATGCGGCTCACCTGATAGTGCTGCCACCGCCGCATTGAACGTTCTTAACACCAGGGGAAGTAATTAAAGGTAAAGTTACCTAACATCAGTGTATGTCATTATGACTGCTTTCCTCTCATTAATTTTTTTTTATATCATAATTTGAGCGCGTTTGACCGCAATCTCACCTGATGTTAAGTGATGATGTGGTCTAAGCTGTTACACGCAAGCTCAAATAATACCTATTCACTCTTGAATTAATTGTTTAACCAGTTGTTGTGTATTCAATATTTTTTCTATTTGATTATTTAATTGAATTAGTGCTAATCGGTAGTTTGTATTCACACACTTAAACTTAAATTGTTAAATAAGAATAAAATTATTTAAAAGAGCAATACACAAGTTTCTTGCTCGTTCTTCTTGTGATGAGACAGCTTTCCGAATGAGCGGTAGATTAAAAAAAATGTGATGACTATTCAAAAGTGCTTCAACGTAAGTTTATTTGAATAAATGATTTTCTATTCTTTGTATAAATATATTTACATTTATTGTCATCTACTAGCGATTAAGTTTGCATATTTACTTAATCGCTATTTGAAAGAAAATTCCATGCCGCTTATCTGCATCTTCATTCCATTCCGTTTGCTTGACATTCCAATTAGTCACATAAAAAAGGTCAATCTGTGTCAAAAGGAAGAGAAAATAGGATATTGTTTAACTATATTTTTATTTCAATAAATTAAGCGGTTTCCGATTCTCATTAATACACAATTACAATGCATTTAAAAAAAATCAATTTCAGGTGCTTCCCACCAAGATTTGTTATTTAATTAATACAGGAATGTTTTTCGAGCATTTATATATTGACATGTAACCAAATAATCGCAAGCTATAAATAATAGAACCATAAATTGTCTTTTCCAAATACGTAGATAGCACCCATACCTTTTTTGAAAACCGAACCTATTTTTGTAAAAAAAAACAATTAAATTAATTTAAAAAAATTGGCGAATAATTACAATCAGGGATTTTATAGCCACGGACGAGAAAAAGCAGTTTACATGAGAATACTTATAGCTTATAAATATGTACATTCTCAGCATTAGTACGTCGATTGGTTGATCGCGTTGTTTGAGAATGTTCAGACCCGAGTTAGTACTCGTTCTGTAGTTTTCCCGGCTGTTCTCTCATCCACATATTCCATCTTTGCGATCGACCAATTTTAGTCCAACTTGAGGTTACTCAAGTTGTACTAAATTATGTATTAATACTATCATTACACTAATATTTTGAATTGAAACAGATACACACTTATAATACTTGTAGGAGAACATGCATGTAACTTGATTGTTAATTATAAATACGTATTAAGCGAAACATATAACCTTTTTTATCGTCCGCGGTTCACATATATTTAGTACATAATACCATTAGATGCCAATAAATTTTAGCATTATTACAATTGCAATGATAAAAATCGTGTTTTCTCTTTTCAACTGGTAATAAAATTTAGCATTAGACAGAGATGCAGATTATTGTGTTCCTCGAAAGCTTCGGTCTTTATATGACTTAGAGCCGTGGATCGAGTTATTTATGACGTTTTTTTCTAAATAGAATGACAAATGAAGTAATTGTACACATTTCGATTGTTTTTATTCGTAATACTTTACAAAATTTAATTCACAAATTTGTAAATAAGAATTTACAAATTCGTAGTATATTACAAACTTCAGACCAACAAAACAGTACAGAATTGCTATGCGCTGATAGTGAAACCGCGAAATTCGTATTCCAAATAAATCTTACATTTGCACACATACCCTTTTGATCCAAAACCATAATTGTCGCTTGTCAGCGTATTCATAACAATAATTTAGAATTCTTATAAGTTTGAATTATTAAAAAAAAAAAAACAATTTGGTATTTCATTAGAACTCTTCAATATAATTAAGTATTCTGACGCGACTATATTATTGTGACGGTTTATTACTACATTTATAAAAATGGCAACTCTTCTTTTCTCATACATTTTCATTCGACTGAAGGACTTGTATCCAAGGTCATGAATAAAACATTATTTAAAAAAATCATACATTTTTATCACAACGATTTCAGCTTGTAATTTGATGGTCTATGCTTTTTTGGTCTAGATTACAAAAACTGTCAATATTATTACGACAGATATTAAATTGGGAAGTAACATTTTTGGTCTAATTGTTAATAATATCGACTAGACATTCTAATAACTTTGACATTGTAAGTAAAAGAAACAATTGACACCCGATATTTGTTGTTTCCTTTTGTGACATTTTTTTTAACCACTGTAACAATACTTGGCAGTAATCACACATCAATTCATGTACTTATATTTTGATTAAAAATACAATCAAATTATAACCCTACTAAATTCCTACAACGCAATTATTTGACGGAAAATAATTTATAATTATTTTGTATAAAGAAAAATAATATATAGCAAATAAGTATAGTAATTAATATACGTAATCCGTTATACCTTCGTTTTAATTCATAATGTACTTGTAGGAACGGCAAACATTAACAGTTACGTTCTATTAGGTTGGGATGAATATAAATATATTTACCTTATTCATTTAAGTTTTAGAGTCCGGATTTAGAACCGCCTATTTGCGTTTTTTAATAATATACGCTGTCTCGTTCTTTCTTCTCAGTGTTATTACATGTATACATCTTTTTTTGCCATTAAAACAAGTGCATTGCAAGAAAATTCTTCAACGCTTCACATCCATATATTAATGTATAAATTATTTACAGGAATATTTAAAAAAATCGTTGGAAACACACAAGAATGGCCACTATTTTTCAATTCAATATTTTTTCAGGACGGGGAGTGTGTAGCGTCGAAGTAAATATTGCATGGTATAGTGACCAGCTCAGCATATAACTAATCTAATTGATTAAACATTATACTCAACTAAACGGTCCTTGACTGAAAATTAAATAAGATTATATATCATTACACGTTGCAATCGCGAATATTTTGGCTCCGATTATCATCTCAGTGTCACTATATTAAATGGCGAGTCTGAGCTATTTTACAAAAACAAATATATCAAAATATATTACAGTAATTAGTAAAGTGTGTTGTAAACAATATTAGAATTCAGTTTTTAATTGGAAAAGAAATTAGCCTTTTGAAGTACGTTCTTGCACGTGCGAATAGACTTTCACGCAGGAAAGAATGAGCATGTAAATGTAGGCAAAGAGAACGAGAAATGCAAACAGTGAGTGCATTCCCGCGTACTGCAATCGTGCGTGCTTTAGCGCCTTTTTCTAATAATTGCAAAATGGCGGACATCTAACTGGAGCAAATACATAATTATAGTTGTTGACAATTTATACATCTTAAATATGTCTTTTCTTTAATAAAAAAAGGATTGAATGTTGCATATAAGTGAAAGTATAATGGACATGTGGAAAAGAGAATAGCAACGGACAAATGGAAAAACCATTACTCGCCGCCGAGACTCTTGCGGACTCGGGTCACCGCGAGCCGCGCGGTTTGACGCTTTTTCGTGACCAAAAAATCTAAATATAGATGTTTACTTTAAAAATTTAAAAAGATAAATATATGATATGAAACATACGCGCTATGATCCTGGAAAGAGTAAATAAAAAAAAAATGGTAAAATGTAATCAATTGAGCATTTTGGATTTCTCGCGTTAAATCGCACGTGAAAGAACGTGTCGTGTAAAAGCTATTAATTGTATTTATGTGGCGGTAATTACGTATTAATTTTGTTGTCACGACTTTATATTGTCAACACAAATATTTCCAAGAACTCCGAATAGAATAGTCAGATTAATTTAATATTTACAGACCATGATTTAAGTTCGAAAATTGACACGCAAAAGACAATCAGTTATGACCTATTCTATTGTTATGTTACTTGTACTTTTGAATAAAATGGCGAGTGTTTATAATTTAGCTACCAAGTTATTCACTATCGAACTAATTTGCTGAAGCATTTCGAATTTTATGACATTAACAAATAAGAGTCATATTCCTTTCTGACTTTATGTCTTAATTGCATGTTAGATATTTGAAGCACAACAGAATTAAACACAAGTTGGAAATATTGAAAGCATTAAAGATTGTTCAGTTATTGTTAATTCTGGTATTAATATAACAGAAAACAGCCGAATTTATTAGGATAACTTTATGACGTCAAACGTATATATTTTAATTATAACAATTAAAACAGCATTCTTGTATAATGACCAATGATCGGAGTAAGTAGAGCTATTTTGTGTACTTGCCATATGATAGAATAATATGGATAATTTTAGTGGTGCAGAAAGAAACAAAAACTGGTGGTTATAATCACACCCGTGACACTACCTGTATGTGTGAGCGAGAGCGCATTATGCAGCGATATCACAACTCTCAACAAAGCGGCAATGTCACGTGTTGATATATTAACATAAATGTTTGACGTCAATGATCCTAAATAACTCTACCTGACATTAAGAAAGAAAGAATATGCAATCCCACATATATCTGGCATCAGTGACTCTCTAAAGTAGTAAAATGTCAATCATGTAATAAGATTCTCAAAACATTCTAAGTTGAAAGTAGCGAAATTAATGGTATAAAAGAAATAAGAAAAATACTGAAGGTATAAAGACAACACTGGACTTATTTAAATAACCGCATTTAGACCCAAACTAGGCAGAGCTCGAAATATCGGTACTATGCAGATTATAGAAATATTTCTTGTAAACACATTTATCATGATCATTTTAGTGCAACAGAATTTAAAGATATTGCCTACAGATGATTATCTAAGAGTTTCTGTAGCTTCCTTCATAATACAGATGCGTAAGACAAATATATACAATATTTTTATATGGACCGCCTCAGTGATTCAGCGATGTAACGCACCACCTTCATTCCGTTGGTCGATGGTTCGATTCCTGGCACTGTACAAACACTTTTGTATTCATGAGTAAGATTGTTGGTCTTGGTCTGGGTGTTTTCTAGATAAATTATGTATGTATTTACAAAAAAAAGTATCTTTGCATTTATATAAGTTGTCTAGTACCCATAACGCAAGCTCTGCTTATAGTGGGACTAGATGGCGCTGTTAATTGACCTGAGAATTATTATTATTATTATGTTTATAGCAGAAGAATATGTTTGTTTATACCGTTTGTTAATTATAATTGCTCATCGACAGATTTAGGCAATATTTTTATTCCCAACACCCCAATTAGCCAATTACCATGGTAATTTGAGTTTAATTAATTCCTTCAAATATAAGGAGGAAATCTTTAAACAACGTTTCGAAGAAATCGGATACCTCTCCACCTTTATTTACAAACATCTTTGCCCTAATACACACTGTATAAATCTATAACTTTCAAATTACAACCCAATTCCTTCACATTAAGTTTGTAATTTAATCAATCAAATACAAGATTGGATTAATACTGCTGGTACAGTCCAGGCTGAGAATGAGGAAACACTTTCTAAATTATATTTAAGCTACAATGTAAAATGGCTTTTATTGTTTATAGTTAGATTACAAATTCGTTTGACATGATTATTTCCCTAATTGTAAACATATTTAGAAACACAATACATCCTCATATCCAGTTCTATTTTCAAAATTTAAATAACATGCGGTTTAAACGTTTTAAAAGGAAGTACAGTAATAATTTCGATAGATGTCACTTTTTAATCAAGTGATCATAGTCCAAACCATAGACTAGTATACTACAGATTATAAACTTCAGTGTTAGCTCAAACTGGAGAGTGGTATGCATTTGTTTTAGTATAATTATCAAATTTATGTCATGTATTACAATTATTCCGCACAGTACAGTTCATAGTTTTCGACATTCCAGAATGAGGGCTATCTGAAAAGATTTCACTTTGTTATCTGTATTAACGTACTTTTAAACAGACCACAGAGAATAAGTGAATTTAAAAATATTAATGATCCACTATAGCCAGACCGTGATATCAGAGTACATAGTTTACGACTTTCCAGAATGAGCGTTGTCCGAAAAGGTTTTACTCTACATTTGTAATCGTGTGCACTCAAATAGAACACAGAGCACAGAGCACTCTTCCAGAATGAGCACTATCTGAAAAGATTCCACTCTGTTTTTTAATCGTGGGCACAAGAACAGAAAACAGAGAACACAGAGCACAGGGCACTCGCGATTTAACAACGTCGTCAGTCCAACGTCAGTCCGCGGCACTCAATCACTATGTACACACACCACGCCGATATAACACTTATCACATATTGAGATTTAATCGTCCAAGCTCGATAAGGCGGCGCGACGTGACGTTACACGGAGTCATCTGAAAAAAAAATTACTTATTTAGGCCTCCTCACAAACATAAATCTTAATCATTCTTAATAATATTATAAATGCGAAAGTTTGTAAGTATGGATGTTTGTTACTCTTTCACGCAAAAACTACTAAACGGATTTAGATGAAAATTTACAGTAATATAGCTTATGAATCAGAATAGCATATCTAGTCTTTATATATACAAATAACGTGTCACGTTTGTCTGCGATGGACTCCTAAACTACTGAACCGATTGCAAGTTTGATTTGCACATTGTGCAATTTGATCCAACTTGAAAGATCGGATAGCCACATCTCAATTTATAGTCGCAATATTATCTTATTCAAGAACCATAGCAACGCGTGGCCAATGTGGCCGTGGGTCTGCCGGTAGACTATATTTTTTATTGAAATTAACGCGGGAAAAACCGTGGGCTATTTTGATTTATATTTTTATATAGATTGTCTATGTGAAAATATTGTTTTTAAGTAGTAATATTCATTTGTTTTTATTTAAATTGTATACATTACTTTGGAGATGGGCGCAAATAATTGCAATACAGTTTTTTATAAATGAATGTAGTTGTTATTGTAACCATTCTGTATTGGTTTAAATACATTTTTTAATTATTACAATCAATATCAGATAGATCAATAGAGACTATACAGATCCACTAGGGCATCAACCAAATGTACTTGATATAAGTAAAAAGAATTTACGATGCCTATACTACACTAAATAAACTATAATCACACAATGTACTAAATAAACTGTAATCTTTAATTCTTTAATGTTTAGAAATAAACTATAATAGGTAATAAACAAGGTAGGAAGTACATGATATTGTACGAAGAAAGATGGATATATCTTTATCACTACATATTATAAAACAAAGTTGCTGTCGCTGTCTGTCCGTCCCTATGTATGCTTAATTCTTTAAAACTACGCAACGCATTTTGATGCGGTATTTTTAATAGATACGAGTGATTCAAGAGGAAGGTTTATATGTATAATACATGTACACCCGTGCGAAGCCGGGGCGAGTAGCTAGTATAGTATAATACAAAGTCGCTACAGCTGTTTGTTCGCTTATATCTTTTATATTACGGAATGGATTTTAATGTACTTTTCAGCTATAGATTCATAAGGAAGGTTCACATGTGTTACTAGCTGAAATTTATAGGCTATGTGTTATTCTGATGTGTAAGCTATATTATTGCAAAGTTTGTGAGTACTTGTAATATTAATAAGATATATGTGAGCACTAATTTCGCTTACCGTGATACCACCATTTTGTTTTCTTAGGGTTTTTGTTACAGGTCTTAACATAAAATGAGTTGTCCGGTGGCCGCTTCTGAAAATGTCGAAATTTACATTTTAATTTGTTGACTTATTTACCAGTATATTTGAAACTAATCCCGTACTGGAAAAAACGTATAATAATAATAGTAACCCTGGACAATTCACACGGCGTCATCTAGCATCTAGCATAGCATCTGGGTACTAGACAACTGGTAGATATACATATACATTGTTTAGTGAAATGTGTGTATCGTGCGAGGAATCGAACCCGCGATCTTCGGAAGTTAAGCGGTGTACTAAACAACTGAGGCAACATATTAGTCGTTTGAAACGTTCAAATATTACTTGTTCTTGGACAATTCACATAACGCTAGTACGAAGCTAAGCAGATCTTGTGTTATGGGTACTAGACAACTGATATAAATACTTAGATAGATTTTTGTAAATTACAACCATAATTTACTTAACACTGGTGGGTAAGATTTGTTAGTGAAATGCAATAATAAACCAATTGCTAGCAATGTACTATGTCAGGTTGACCTCCACGCGGTTCCCCCTGGAAACCTAGTAAATTGCTATGTGCAAAGATGGGCTAACTGCTCTGATTTCATGCTCATTTTATCATCCTCTACCAGTGTAAATCTTTATCGTAGGCAGGTGCATCATTTCATTATCATCCAAACCATTCGTCCCCGCCAGTGTAAACTGTTAGCGTAGCCGGTACATCATTCCATTATCATAAAAAAAATCTACATAAACCTAGACCGATACAAATAATCATATTCAGGATAGAATAGTCTCCCATACCTCTGATGTTTCCGAATACAAAAAAAGGAAAATCGTAGAAAGATTCGTTTATAAATGTCTTTGAAGGCCTTGGTGTTTTAGAGTTTTAGCACACCACTTTCCTTCCTTCTAACTAATACAAACTTAGTTAATTTTAAACTTTCGTGTTTAATATACATTATTTAAATTATTAACCGGGTCTTAACACGAATAATTTTATGGCAAATAAAGGTATTTACCTCTCTCGACGTTTCGACTAGGTTGCACTAGCCGTGGTCACGAGCTGAGTCAGCTCGTGACCACGGCTAGTGTGTAATCGTGTTAAGACCCGGTTAATAATTTAAATAATGTAATACAAACTTCCTACTAACTAAAACGGTGAGCTTAACAACTAGACCAGAGGGGAAAAGAATTGTTAGTAATGTGGACAGTTAATCTTATTGCTAGCAATATACCATGTCAGGTTGACCTCAACGCGGTTCTCTCTGGAAACCATCGTGGTAAATTCTTGGTGAATTTATCACGATGGGCTAACTGACCTGACCTCATGCTCATTTCATCATCCTCCACTGGTGCCCCGCCAGCGTAAACCGTTAGCGCAAGTAGGTGCATCATTTCATGATCATCCATAAAAAAAAACAACTTGACCTTGAAGGTTGTGAAGTTAATAGCATAGATAATTCGTGTACACACCTTCTCCTTACAGCTACTAAGCATGGAGACTATAGAGAGGCACACGGACTGCACTGACAGCGCCGGCGACCAGTCATCAGTCAATATCGACAGACAAATGTGACCGTTGGAGTACACGTGCGGATGTACGGGAATGTTGTTGCCTACGAACGTCACCTGCAAATAAAAAAAAATACATATCAATAAGGGATTTATGAATTTATGAAAATTACTAGCTGTACGCGTTACATCGTCCGCGTGGAATACATAGTAATCTTGCAATGCATTTTAAAATATTTAGCTTAATTATAAACAGCTAAATAAAAAAGCTTCATCGTTGTAGCTTCAAAAATGACAATACAAACTTTCATCTCCTATTTAATTTTACCCCCCTAAGGGTATATTCTTACAAACTTTGAATTTCATATTAATTTATATTTAATAAACAGCCCAAAAAATAAGTTTCAAGCTTCTAAAAATGTTAAAAATGATGATACTTCCATTCAACCCTTCATCTCCCTTACAACCCGTTTGTCGCATTAAAAAGTAGTCTGTCTTTTTTCAGGGTTTAGACTATCTGTGTACCAAATTTAGTTTAAATCGATTCAGTAGTTATGGTGTGGAAGCGTTAACAGACGAAGTATCAGTCTCTGAACTGTTGCCACATTACTTGAAGTTACACGTTGATTAGCACGTCGAGAGTTGGAGTGCCTCTAACTACGCCATGTAGGATTAGAGTCGTGAATATTGTAATATTAATTTATTAATTCTTTACTGCACTAGCAGTATATTACAAAGATCATAAATTATAGTTATAATTTTTAATCTTGACGCGGTCATTATTTATACATATAATTAGTAAAAATCACGGGATCTTACCACGTTTTATATTTACTGTGTGTCCAGTTTACCCGTGATCATGGTGGTTGAAACACTACCGAAATATCGGGACCTCAGCAAATAAATATAAAACGTGGTAAGATCCCGTGATTTTTACTAATTATATGTATAGTTATAAGGTACAAATAGTGGTCTCATCGCATTAGCAAACTCTTACAGACAGAAGCTAGATGGTGCTATAATAGGCTAGAGAAATAAAAGGCGTAGCATTATTAATTAATTTATATAAAATAACATTGGTATAAAACTTACACCTGTAAAGTAGATAAAAAATGTTATATAAAGTGACTTTATTCTAATCTAAATATATATAACTCAAAGGTGACTGATATACCGATCTATCAACGCACAGCCCAAACCACTGGACGGATCGGGCTGAAATTTGGCATGCAGGTAGATGTTATGACGTAGGCATCCGCTAAGAAAGGATTTTGGTTAATTCTATCCCCAAGGGGATAAAATAGGGGATGAAAGTTTGTATGAAACTTCGTCAATTGAAACCGATCGGGCAGAGACCCCCTAAAAGGGATAACGCGAGCGAAGCCGCGAGCAAAAGCTAGTCTATACATATAAAGTGTAGTGTAGTGTAGTGTAGTAAAAAAATTTAAATATGGAGTGTCTGTTTGTAATATTGAAATAACCGTTTTTTTACTACATGCATATGAACATAAATACGGTACATACAGCAAAATAGCATTTTTTACTATGTGTTTGTTCCGGCTAATCTCTGAAATGGCTGGACCGATTTTGACGGGACTTTTTTGGCAGATAGCTGATGTAATAAGGAGTAACTTAGGCTACTTTTATTTTAGAAGAATTCTTTTATGTTAGAAAAATAAAGTTAAATTCCACGTGGACGCAGTCGCGGGAACAGCTTGTCATACATAAATGGATCACGAACAATATTGCTTATTACATATATATATAATAATAATATCTGATTGCGTTGAACATGAAACACTTTTGCTCAAACTTGAACATTACGGTATTAGATATGAAGCACAAAGCATGATGAAATCCTATCTAAATAATAGAATGCAAGTTGTCGAAATAAATGGTGTAAAGTCTGAGGGAACTAGTATTAAAATGGGTGTTCCTCAGGGCTCTATTTTAGGTCCTTTCTTATTTTTAGTTTACATAAATGATCTTCCTTATATGGTAGAAAAGATAGCTGACATAGTTCTGTTTGCTGATGATACTTCATTAGTATTCAAAGTCAATCGACATATTGATGATTTGGACGAAGTAAACGGTGCTCTTTCTTATGTTTTAAAATGGTTTACGGCTAATAATATGTTACTAAATGCAAATAAAACTAAATGTATCAAATTTACTCTCCCCAATGTAAGGCCGGTAGATTCAAAAATCACGTTGGACAATAAACCTATTAATTTTGTGGATGATACTGTATTTCTAGGTATCACATTAGATTCCAAGTTGCAATGGGGCGCTCATATTACTAAATTAGCGAGTCGACTTAGTTCCGCCGCTTATGCGGTAAGAAGAATTAAACAATTAACAGACGTGGCAACGGCTAAACTTGTGTACTTTAGCTATTTCCATAGCATTATGTCGTATGGTATTTTGTTATGGGGCAAAGCAGCTGATATAAATACAATATTTATTTTACAAAAGAGGGCCATTCGCTCCATTTATAGCATGGGTTCCAGGGAGTTTTTGCGAGAGTGCTTTAAGGAATCAAATATCCTAACCGTTGCTTCTCAATATATTTATGAAAATATCATGTATGCCAGGAAGAATATAGACAGTTTCAAAAGAGTTAGTGATTGCACTAATAAAAGCTTACGTAACAATAACAAACTGATTTTACCTAAATGTCGTTTGGCTAAAGTTAGTAATTCGTTTTATGGCAATTGCGTAAGGTTTTACAATAAAATACCAGAGTCTGTTATAAATCTGCCAGAAAAAAGATTTAAATGTCAAATAAAACACTTCCTTTGCAAAAAAACTTACTATAAAATTGAAGAATTCGTTAACGATAATAATGTTTTTGTAGAAAAATTTTAAATACATAGCACTAACAATATTATCTGATTACACTAATAATGAGTGCGTAGCGATTTCTATGTTGATTGTCCCATGCCTCTTACTTGTTACACTGTAATTATTTATATAAAAAAAAAAAAACATCTATTAAAAAGAGCAACACACAAGTTTCTTGCTCATTCTTCTTGTGATGAATCTGCATTCCGAATGAGTGGTAGAATCAAAATATGACTATTCAAAAGTGCTTGTAATGAGTTTATTTGAATAAAGATTATTTCTATTTCTATTTCTATTTCTCAGGACAGTTCACACAGCGCCATCATGTCCCACGCTAAGCAGAGCTTATATTAAGGGTACTAGACAACTGATATAAAGTCGCTATCGCGGTCTCTCCGTCCCGCCTGTATGCTTGAATTTTTAAAACTACGCAACGGATTTTGAAGCGGTTTTTTTTATTAGATAGAGTGATTCTAGAGGAAGGTTTGTATATATAATACACGCAGTAGCAAGTAGCTAGTATTATATATAGAAAACACCCAGACCGATAAAAACAATCCTACTCATGAATACAAATGTTTGTATCGTGCAAGGAACCCGCGACCATCGTATGTAAAGCGGTGTGCTAATCCACTACACCACCGAGGCCATTATATACACAGATTTCAATGTAAATATGGACAGATATACATACAGATATCAAGATAATCTTTTCCTTGTGTATTGAAATCTCTGATTATTTTATACGCATGTAAGACGAAGTCGTGACCTCGAATTGTGCTAAGGAAAGATAATTGCTGTTTTTTAGTACTCAACCACAAGGATGTTATTGATAAACGCGACTACTAGACAAATACACTTTTTTTTTAATTGATGATAATGGAATGGTGCACTCACCTGCGCTTACGGTGTACGGTGGCGGGGCACCAGTGGAGGATAAGATGAGCATGACGTTAGGTCAGTTAGCCCATTCTGACAAATTCACCAAGAATTTCTCACGATGGTTTCTAGGGGAACCGCGTGGAGGTCAACCTGACATGGTACATTGCTAGCAATAAGATCATCAATCCACATTACTAATAATCCCATTTTCCCCCAGGTCAGGTTAATTTTCTTTTTTTTTTGGGGTTTTGGGGTATTATCATGTACTAAGACCTAACACTAGAACGCCGGGGGAAAGGGATTGTTAGTAATGTGGACTCTCAACCCCATTGCTAGCAATGTACCATGTCAGGTTGACCTCCACGCGGTTCCCCCTGGAAACCATCGTGATAAATTCCAGATGAATGTATCACGATGGGCTAACTGACCTGACCTCATTCTCATCTTATCATCTTCCACTGGTGCCCTGCCAGCGTAAACCGTTAGCGCAGGCGGGTGCACCATTTCAATATCATATACAAAAAAAAACCACTAGAACGCTATTACATATCCTATGTGGTTGTAGCCCACTCATGCATAAACGTAGTATCTCCTTTGGAAAGTTTCCACTCTATCTTGAGGATATAAAAACCATCGCTCTTATAAATATCCTTCAATTCTTGTCCCTGACGGGTTTAGGTAGGTAACTCTGGAAAAAGGGCGAGCACAATAGATCTATGTAGGTCGCAGTGCTACAAGTCCAAGCACTTGACAATAGCGGGGGGAAATGGGGATTGTTTGCAATGTGGATTCATGACCCCATCACTAGCAATGTACCAAATCAGGTAGACCTCCACGCGGTTCCTCCTGGAAACCATCGTGATAAATTCCTTGTGAATTTGTCACGATGGGCTAACTGACCTGACCTCATGCTCATTTTGTCATCCTCCACTGGTGCCCCGCCAGCGTAAACTGTTAGCGCAGGCGGGTGCACCATTCCATTATCATCCTTAATAAAACTTGACAATAGCCCAAACAACCCAATAAAAAAAACACTACGACCTGCATAGATCTATTTTGCTCGCCCTTTTTCATTAACGGAATATACATGTATATAACATGTTTAACACATGTAAAGTACATGTATAGAGTCGTAACGCGTCAGAGGCGTGGAGTCATAATAGTCAGTATCTAATCAAATATTTTTCTGAACTATTGCGTTTATCATTAGTTGTATCTATAATCTTATTTGAATCATAAAGAGATCAGTACGCCTTATGATTATTTAGTTATCTAAATCCATCTTATCCATAATTTAATCGAATAATTGATGCTTATATTCTGGTAAAAACAATTCCAATATTCGCGGAATCCTAGTTTCGCAAGAATTTAAAAGTAAAAACGTATGCGAAATCATGGATTCAAAACCCTTTTTTACCCAACATGCGAAACCCTGAAAGAACAAATATATATAAATCTCTTTAAATGTCACGAGACACAAGTATAGACCGTCTCGACCACACTTTCACATACACACACGACACCGTCCTCGCCGGCGGAGACGATGACGAGCGGAGACGATGATGAGGTTCGAACCCCTAGAGGTGTCCTCAGACAAAAGTCGTATCCGTCAGGCTGGGGTTGGCCTTCAGCCGCTCCATAAGTCCTTCCGCGGGTTTGGCGTGCTATCTGCACTCATCCACTATCGTCCGGTGAAGCTGTAAAGGCCAGCTGCGGCCAACAACATTACAGTAGTCCAAAAAAAAAAACAAAGTGTGGAGCCACTGTTCAAAACGACGCCCTTCAACGATTTTTGATGCAGAATCCCTGATGAATATCCCATGCTTGCCAAAACGACTCTGAATATTCTTCTCCTGTTGCCAACAACATATTTGTGAGAAACAGGATTCTCAACCTATGCAGCCTCGACAACAAAATACCGCAATAAAGTGTACACATATCTGATATGATACTTCAATTATCTTCTATCAAACCTGATATCAATCAGTTGATGAAAAATAAAAAAAATAGTTGCATACCTTCGCTGATTTCAGATTATTTTTCTTTTATACTATCTTATATTATTATACTTGTTATATAGTACTTAAGAATATTATTTAAAACAATTGTGTTATTGTAGATGCAGGTCACTATATTCAACCTAATTTAATTTAAAAATGAATCTGTATTTTTGTAATCATGTACAAGTTCATTTTCAACAAACTTATCTCTTATTCTTTATAAGAGATAAGTTTGTTGTCAGTTCTTCTTAGCATGAAAGCATTCCAAACTAATGATAGATTTGACATATCATAAAAAAATAGTCTACAAGAATAAAAAAAACTTTTGGTTTGATTTCGGGATAAACTTATCAACTACTTTTTTATCTTATTGGAATGGGATATACATCTGCTTATTTGACATAGGATAGTGAGTGGTAACCCTCCCCTTTATACATGAGCAACTTTCCATAATGTGACACCCGAGATACCACTCAATTATTACCTGAGGAACTCCAGAGAATGTCTTCCTATGATGTCTTACCTCATGGGTACACAGCATCATAAAATTAAATTGTTGTGACGGCTAATAGTGAATATTTTTTTAGTTGTTTTTGTAATATAAACAAGTTAAAAAAATCTTATAATTATTTGAGAATAGGAGTATTACTCACCTCAGGAGAATCGAAGGGGTATTTATTTGTGAATTTAAACTGCAATACAAATTGTTCTCCTTCATAAAGTGTGCCAGGAACACCTTCCATATGAACTGTCCATCTGTCCAAAAATAATTTCATTTATTATTTTATATGTACAATAAAAGGAGATGTTGGCTCAGAGACTGATGTGCAGAATTACAATAATATATATGTAACTAACATTTATTGTATCTATTTCAACTTATAAGTATAAATTGTGTTATATTGTGCAATTATATGCAATTAATAAAGGCTTGGAATTTGAATGTATGATAATAGTATGGTACCAGTGGAGGATAAATACTTTTTAATTAACAAATGCACAACTACTACTATTATTCTTTATAATTAAATTAAATCTTAATCCAAATTAAATTAATTAAATAACTCTTTATAATGACCATTGTAAAGAATATATAAATTGAAACCACTAATGTGCCTTTGTTAAATAAAAACTAATAATTTCCACTGATGTTTCACCAAATTGGATTATGCTATGATGAAAGAAAAATCCAGAACCACTAATTATTTTTTCGATTCTTTTTTCTGTTTGATAAGTAGGTACAATAATCCAGAGTGCTATAAAATTAAAATTCAGAAAATGTCTAAACTTGATCATGTACTGTAAAATATTATTATTATTGTTTTTGGAATTACAAAACCCAATGGACATGTAATACAAAGTAAATATATGTGATAGTGTACATTAGATATATATTTCCATTACAAAAACTACGGATTTTGTGTTTCCACATGTATAATGTGTTTTTCGAAGTTGTTTTGTAAGTAGAACAGAATAATTTCCTAGTTGTGCAACAAACATAGTGTTGTTAAGAAATTAAACATATTTAACTTATTAATTATGTTCAGAATTTTATTACGACTCGATAAATTATTCAAATTAATCCCAGATATATATGGATTACATGTATTGAAAATATATAATTTTTATCACGGTAACTTACAATGTCAGATTTTGGCTGGCTTGGTCTCCGTCTACCGTTACTCCTGGAGGTGGTTCTCTTATTAAAGACATTAGTTCTTTTTGTAATCTCCGCTAAAAAGAAATTAAATAACATCAACAATAGATTCTTGAATATCTATTGACAACACAAGTATTTGACAAAAACCCATCTGTAGACTGTCACCTAACTTTATAAACATAATATTGTTTCGAAGCGAATGTTGACATTAGTTCCATATTTGTTATAGCTATTTGAAATTTTCGTTCACTTGTAATTAAGTAGAAAAGCACTTGAAACAAGAATTTATAATTATTTTTACTCACCTGAGATGGGGACATAGCCGCCATTGTAATGGAATTTAGACGTTTTAAGTGTTACTAATTGTAAAAAAGTGATATATGTATGACATAATTACTTTTTTATAACTAGTAACAATTTACCATTGTGGACATAAAGCTGAGATTACACGATAAGTTTTATTGCCACACTACATGGAGATAAATCGACTCAAGTCTGTGTTATGTTTTATAAGTGAAGAAAATTTCTATCAAGACCTATTTTAATTATTGTAATCCGTATAATTTTTTTCAATAACGGCGTGCTGTTCTCTGTACAGATACATACTCTGTGATACAGATACAGTGTCAGTCAATGACAGCCAGCTTTGATGTCACTTTGTTATGTATTGTTTTCTTCCGTAACATCCAAAATCTGTAACAAACAATATTTTGGATTTCAATTTCAAGAATTTCAAATTATATACTCAGTGAAAACTTTATACTTTGTATTAATCTCTTGAGTCAATGTAATTGCTTATATTATAGCTTCTTAGAAGAGTGCTTTCAGGAATAGAGGCATATATTTTATTTCTTCTAAAGCGGCATTTGTATTCTGTACAATGGTATAGCCGGAATTAAACAAATTTTAGTTAATTATACTAATAAATGATTATTTCTATACCATAATGGTGTCGTATTGTAAAAAGTCATCAGCAGAGTGGATTATAGAGCAGCTAAACGTAGAGAACGCAAAATTATTGGCGTTTGTTCTTGTGATTGGATTCATTGGCTACCATGGAATACTTCATCTTAGATACGGTAAGGCTTGTTTTTATTATCATCATCATCATCATCACAGCCCGGAAGTTTTTGTTATAATATAATTGTTTTTATTATAATCTGTTATAATTATTGGCGGTCTCGGTGGTTTAGCACACCACTTTACTTCTGATGGTCGCAGGTTCCAACATTTGTATTCATGAGTATGATTGTTTGTATCAGTCAGATTGTTTTTATTGAGTGACTCCATTTTCCGCAATCTCTCTCTCATCTGGACCGTGGTGGATGTAGTAGGCAGTGCTTAGTAGATATATTCAATTTGTCTTACTGGCCATTATTAATTGCATGTATTACATTGATGTATATAAATATCTGCGTCCCATAGTGGTTATATTTGAATTCAACATGATGGGGCAGCAAAGTTATTATCATCCATAGGTTATCTCAATGTTTTCATCACTACAGTGTCAGTGTGAAATATAAATTCGACCTTTTTTCTTTCTGTTTCCCTTACACATGTATATTCATTGAGTTATAAAAAAGACATCTTGCATATTGTTGTAGGTCCAGACTCCTGTACTTGGTTGCTGTCATCGGGTCGCTACAAGGGCGACCATGAGTGGCAGCCCTATGGCTGTATGCTGCACAAATACTCTAAAACGTACGATACTATCTATATTATTATTATAAAGAAAGAGATTGAATTATGTTATAAGAAAAATAAAGTCTTAAAAGACTCCACTAAGATCTGAGATATCTCATTGTTAGAGTGTTATTAAACAGCACTATCCCTAACTGGAGGTGTCTCCTTCACTACCGCATGTGTAAATAAGTTTATTTATATTCTAGTCTGAATTTTGATACTCCAAGTATTCAATGTAACTGTATTTTTTTCTATTGGGGATTGTCATGTGCTTGTAGCACTGCTACCTACATAGATCTATTGTACTCACCTTTTTTTAGAGTTTGCTTGGATGGTTTTTATCTCCTCAGGATGGAAGTGTAACCTTTTCAAAGGAGATATTATGTTTATGCGTTAGTAGGCTACAACGACAAAGGATGTGTAGTGACGTTTCATCTTCAGTTTGGCAAAATCTGCAGATTTGATGTAGAAGAAATACAGCCAGCTAGTATATGTTATTCTAAAACTAGATGCAGACTAGGAGATCGGTCAGCTAGTAGTTTATCTTATACATATGTGGCCTGATGGATTCCTAAATTACTAAACTGATGGCAAATTTGACATTGTGTGCAATATGATCCAACTTGAAAGATAGGATAGCTTACATCTCAATTTATAGGCGCGATATTGTTTTATTCAAGAACCTTAGCAACACATGGCCGGGTCTGCTAGTATAGAATAAACATTGATTTATTTGTTCCAGCGATGCACGGCGCTGCCTGCGTTACCTAGCGTTTTGGGACAAGTACAACAGTTTCGCTTTCATAGGAGACTCTAGACTCGAGCAGCTCTACGAATACTTTATAGGTGAGTCATCATAATAATCAACATCCATATTCATGTTGTCCTCAAGTCTAATCAATTCTGAGTTCATACAAACTATAGTATGTACGTGGTTAATTTTTATTTTTTATTTGAGAAGTTTTATTACTCTGTATGCTTCAGCGTTTGCGCCTGTGGTATACGCTCGCTTCAGCAGAGTTGTAAAGGATTTGTTAATTTATGATTTTATTGGGTGTAAAATTTGGATTGCGTTATTGTAATATATACGTGGTTAATATAAATACATCAATTTCTAAATGAACTTGCACATCTATGACTACTGCATATCATATTCCTATTATAATAATTTCCCAAAGTTTTTTGTTCCATTTTGTTGTTTACAAAATGTCTCGCAACTCGATATATGCTTTTTGGTATAGGCTTCCTCCAGTTCTCTCCATTGAACTCTATCTTCCGCAACCCTGTTCCAGAACGGTCCCAGAGTCAGGTTGATGTCTTTCCAGCTATTACTTTTGTCTGATAGGGTTTTTATCATATGTCCTAGTTTCTTGGGATCTTCTTCTAAAAGGACAATGTCATCTGCGAATCTAATCCCATTATTAACCACCAAATCTGGGTGTAGCAGTGACAAGAAGTCGCCTTTCGTTATACGACATCAGAAGGCAATGAGAATGCCGACCATCTGGCAAAGTTAGGGGCAAAAACCGTCCAACTGGGCCCCGAACCCTTCTGTGGTGTGCCTCGTTGCCTAAAACTGGGACATCTCAAATTAATAACCAAACGAGAAGCACTGAATCACTGGCAAGAAATGCCAGGATTAATACATTCAAAAGACCTTATATCGGGCTTCTCGACCAAATACTCCAATAGATTACTGCAATTGAGTAAAAACAACATATGCATGATGACTAGGGCCCTCACAGGACACTGCAAATTGAACAAGCATATGGCTAAGCTAGGCCTATGCACGACAAGTATCTGCAGATTCTGCCAAACTGAAGAGGAAACGCCGCTTCACATCCTATGTGGTTGTAGCCCACTCATGCATAAACGAAATATCTCCTTTGGAAAGTTTACACTCTTTCCCGAGGAGATAAAAACGATCGCTCCTAAGAATATCCTTCAATTCTTGTCCCTGACGGGTCTAGGTAGCGAGCTCTGAAAGGGGCGAGCACAATAGATCTATGTAGGTCGCAGTGCTACAGGTGCTACACATCTGACAATAGCCCAATCAACCCAATAAAAAAAAAAAATATACGACATCGAGAACATGTAGTTTCGCAATTTCTCTGCGAATAAAGAAACGGATTCATCAGCCGCGATCTCTGTGCAATTATCTCATTCGAAAATCATCTCATACACATCATCAAAGTGTTCGATATTTAATGGACTAAAGCACACGTCTGCGCTAACGGTTCACGCTGGTGGGGCCAGTGGAGGATGATAAGATTTGCGTGGGGTCAGATCTAACCAATGTGACAAATTCACCATGAAATTTCATGATGGTTTCCACAGGAAACCACGTGGAGGTGAACCTGACATGGTACATTCAAATTCAAATTTGAATTTGAATTTGTATTTGAATTCTGGGTTAGTGTTTTTTTTTTATTGATGATAATGGAATGGTGTACCCAGGGGCCGTTCAAGTATTACGTAAGCACTATAGGGGGGCGGGGAGTCTTTTCTTTGCTTATTTTGGATGACATGGGGGTGGGGGAGTCTGTATCATGATTACGTCATCGGTCGTAATTTACTTTTTTACACGAATGGCAACCCTCACATTGTCTTTGTTAAAAAAACAATACATTAATTGAGAAATGTTTACGTAAGCATGGGGGGAGGGGTAAGAGCTTTGCTTACTTTTGCTGACAACGGGGGATGAGGGGTAAATAATTGTGATAAATCTGCTTACGTAATACTTGAACAGGCCCCCACCTGCGCTAACGGTTTACGCTGGCGGGGCACCAGTGGATCCTCCACTAAGCTAAAGATCTAAGGACTAAGGATCCTCCACCACCAGCGTAAGATGAGCATAAGATCAGGCCAATTAGCCCATCATGACAAATTCATCAGGAAATTGTCATGTCATCAATGGTTTCCAAGGGGAACCACGTGGAGGACATGAAACATTGTTAGGAATGGAGTAATCAGTTTACATTACTAACAATCCCCTTTCCCCCTTTGGGTAAAAGGTTTTTTTTAAAGGGTGATAATGGAATGGTGCACCCGCCTGCGCTAACGGTTTACGCTGCCGGGGCACCAGTGGAGGATGATAGGATGAGCATGAAGTCAGATGAAGTCAGTTAGCCCAACATGACAAATTCACCGGGAATGTATCACTATGGTTTCCAGGGGGAACCGCGTGGAGGTCGATCTGACATGGTGCATTGCTAGCAATGGGATCATTAGTCCACATTACTTCCCCCTTGGGTAAATGGTTCATGAAAGCGGTTTCAAACATTGACGAAAATTGTAATAGTATATTTATAAAAATGTTGGTACAATTCGATAACGTATAGGTTAGAGTTTAAAAACAATAGTATAAACAAAATAAAGCTTAGTGTACATTTTTACTGAGTTTAAAAAAAAATAGGAGTGCATACATGACATAAAATATACATGTTTTTATAGTAGATGTTTTTATTTGTTTTTCTCATTTCTTCCAAAATGTAGTATATATGTAGGTTTATATATTTATCCCTAATGTAAATATATATATTTAGTAGTGTAGTAAATAGTGTCTTACGTGTGCCACCTAGCTATTCTATGTACATAAGTCCTTTATTCTAGGTTGTCTGTAAGAGATTGCTTTTAGCGATAAGACCGCCTTTTGTAATTACTTTACTATTTACTGTATTTTCTTATTATTTCATCTGGGTACACAATAAAGAGTTTTTGTTATTATTATTATTAGAATAGAATAGAAAATCATTTATTCAAATAAACTTACATTGAAGCACTTTTGAATAGTCATAACATTTTTTTTTTTTTTTTTTTTTTTTTTTTTTTTAATCTACCGCTCATTCGGAATGCTGTTTCATCACAAGAAGAACAAGCAAGAAACTTGTGTGTTGCTCTTTTAAATAATTTATTCTTACTTACAATTTAAGTTTAAGTGTGTGAATACAAACCACCGATTAGCACTAATTCAATTAAATACTCAAAAAGAAAAAAATATTGAATACATAACCAACTGGTTAAACAATTAATAAGAGGAAATCAGTCATAGTGATTAGAGCAGACCAGTCCCTACAAGCAGCACCCGTTCACGAGTATGACGGATGAGCCAGCCATCACTGCGCTCGACCATATTTTAGGGAGCCCAATGACCCGGCCCACCACGCCGCCACAAGTCTGGACATTTTAGTGAGCATGACTACTCAAAACACCAGACCACGTCATAGCTACTCACAATTGCCATCTGATGTTTATAGTATTCACATTTCACATAAGAATGCATGCGGCAATTAATACAAAACCCGCTACGCTTTCATATTTCTAAAATAATTGAATCAAGAAAGCAATGAGATAAACAAATTATAACGTTGTATGCTAATAAACTAATTATTTACTTGATATGTTGTCTTCTATGAATTCGTCTATCCTGTAATAGGCTTTCTTACATAAAAATTGTTTAATATAAGATTTGAATTGCCTCTCTGTCAGATTTAGTGCAGATTCTGGCAGTTTATTATAAAATCTTACGCAATTACCATAGAATGAATTACTGACTTTGTGCAGGCGGCATTTAGGTAAAATTAGCTTATTTTTATTGCGTAAGTTTCTATTTGTACAGTCTTTAAGTTTTCTAAAACTGTCTAAATTCTTCCGTGTATACATGATATTCTCATAAATGTATTGTGAAGTAACGGTGAGGATATTTGAATCTTTAAAACACTGACGTAATGACTCTCTTGAACCCATACCATAAATAGAACGTATGGCTCTCTTTTGTAAAATAAATATAGTATTTATATCGGCTGCTTTACCCCATAGTAGTATACCATATGACATAATGCTATGGAAATAACTAAAGTATACAAGTTTAGCCGTCGCCACGTCTGTTAATTGCCTAATTCTTCTAATTGCATATGCAGCTGAACTGAGTCTATTGGCCAATTTTGAAATATGGGGCCCCCATTGTAATTTCGAGTCCACTGTTATACCTAAAAAAACTGTATCATTAACAAAATTTACTATTTCGTCATTAAGCAATAACTGTGTATTTATTGGTCTTACATTAGGAAGTGTAAATTTTATACACTTTGTTTTGCTGGAATTTAATAATAGGTTATTACATGTAAACCAATTTAATATAGCAGACATAGCACAATTTACATCGTCTAATTGATTAGTTTGACGTCCAATTTTAAACACTAACGAAGTATCATCCGCAAACAGCACTATATCTGCAATTTTCTCTACCATAAAGGGAAGGTCATTTATGTAAATTAAAAAGAGAAAGGGGCCTAAGATTGACCCTTGTGGAACGCCCATCCCAATATTAGCTCCCTTAGATTTTATACCGTCAATATCTACAGTTTGGACCCTATCCTCTAAATAAGTTCTCATTAATTTTAGATCATTATCTTTTATACCATAATGTTCGAGCTTGTACAAAAGTGTTTTATGATCCACGCAATCAAATGCCTTTGATAGGTCACAAAAAACTCCGAGTGCATCCTGTGACTTCTCCCATGATTGGAAAATATGTGTTATCAGCGCTACACCTGCGTCAGTGGTAGACTTGCCGGCGGTGAAACCATATTGTTGACTGTGAAGCAGTCGGTTATCCCTGAAGTGTTGTAACATTTGATTTAACATTATCTTTTCAAACACCTTACTTAGAACTGGCAAAATAGATATAGGTCTATAGTTCCCTGGCTCAAATTTATCTCCTGATTTAAATAGTGGGATTAATTTGCTAAATTTCATTAATTGTGGAAAAGTCCCATTATCAATACATTTATTAAAAATAGTAGCTAGATATGGAGCAACAATATCTATGAAAGAACTAACTACTTTTACAGACATGCCCCAAAGGTCTTCTGCATTTTTTATATTTAGATGTTTGAATATTTTTATGATATGAACGGGGCTAACATGTGAAAATTTAAATCTTAAAGCACAACAACCGATATTAGACTCTAGTAATATTTTTGCTCGAGATGGAGATGAGTCCAGAGAAGATGTAATATTAATCGGAATATTAGCAAAAAAATCTTCAAAAACATTAACTACATCTTTTGTTGCTGTTATTAATTTATTATCATAATTTAATGCAAATTGATTATAGGCTAATTTAGATCTTCCGGTTTCTTTATTTATAATGCCCCAGATGGTTTTAATTTTGTCAGAAGACTGGTTAATTTGTTTATTAATATAATTAGATTTAGCCGTAATACAAACTTTTTTAAAAATTTTTGAATAATTTTTCACATAAGTGGTGAATTTGTCATCAAATCGATATTTTTTTTGATCGTATAAATCAAACAAAATATTTCTACTTTTAAGTATACCTACTGTTGCCCATTCCGTGAATTTAGATTTAACATAAACTTCTTTTTTCTTGAAAAATTGTTCATATTCTCCTGATAGAATAGTAATTAGCTTGGTGTAAAGATAATCAGGATTATTACTATATTGTAACAGCAAATCCAATTTATTTTTAATCGCGCTTTTGTATTTGTTAATATTGTAAACATTTATTTGTCTTTTTGATTTTTTATTATTGTTGACTTTATTGATCTGACTGTTAAACTTAACAACTTGACCACAGTGATCTGAAGGAAGTTTATTTATTATGAATTTTTCTGTATACTCACAGTTACAAAAAACATTGTCAAGACAAGTAGCAGACGTGGCAGTTACACGAGTGGGTTCATGAAAGACATGACTTAAATCAAATGACTGAAATAAACTAATAATTTTTGTACATGTGGGTGTGTTACAAAGAATATCAACGTTAAAATCTCCACATACAATAATTTTTTTAAGACTATTAAATATTTTTTTTAAAATATCCTCCATCACCCCTTCAAAAACATTGTAATCACTATTAGGAGGCCTGTACACACATATAAGGATATAATTTTCTAGTTCTATACAAGATAATTCTATACAACACTCAATAGAAAGTCTAACAATGTCAGCACGTTCCTTTACTTTAATATTATTTCTTGCAATTATCATAGACCCGCCTCTGTTAACTGACTTTCTATTGAAGCAGCTGACAACGTTATAATTATTTAAATTGAACATCATATTGCTCTCTTTAAGCCAATGTTCTGTGAAACAGACAATATCAATATTATACTTTTCTAAAAATAATTGTATAATTAACTCGCTGCCGGGAAAACTTTGTATGTTCTGATGAACAATTATTATAAAATCACCCATATGAATAACATCTTTATCAAATTTATTTCTTCGTCATTTTCATTTGTGTACATACATAATATGCATAGAAAACACCCAAAGGTATTGGTATCTTAATCATACTTATGAATACATATGTTTGAATCTTGCGAGGAATCGAACCCACGACCATCTGAAATATGTGCTAAACTGCTAGACCACTGAGTCCGTCCACTATGTTTTGGATATAGCCTCAGATATATGTAGATAGTTTAATGTAGCAATATTTTAGTGTATTACACTGTACTGGCCTGTTCGTATTATGGACATTAAAATTGGAATAGCATGTGCTGGTGGTCACTATTCTTCCAAATTTGAATTTAAAAATGAATCTATATTTTGTAAACATATAGAAACTCATTTAAAAAGAATAAGAGCTGAGTTTCTTGTCAGTTCTTCTCAGCTCGAAATCACTACGGACTGATGTTAGTTTTTGGCATATCATATGAGGCTGTTATAGATTTACTTGAATAATGATATTTTGATTTGATTTGATGTACGTAAATATTATTTTTACGCACAATATTTATTCACTAACGACGACCTTGACTTTTGATTTATTTATGGTCACTTATCGTTTAAAATATTTACAATTCCCTTGAGGCAAAGGACACATGTGGATTCAGCTTAACACGCTATATTGCTTACAAAATGTGACCTCAATACTGACCCAGACCGGTCTTGTCCGTCGTTCATTAAATATATTATTCAGTTTATAATTAACGTTGACAAAAACAAGTCGTGATGTTTTTTAAAGTGTTTTACGTATTTGGCGCCTTGGTGTGTGTAGCACACGCGAAAAGTGTGATGGTCGGACAAGTTTACAACCAAGGAGGTATATCTAAGGTGTACGAGAAGACTGTGGAAGCAACTGGAATACCGTTGTTTAAAAGGGTGGAAGAGTTATACTACGAGTATCCATCACCAACACAGAAGATCAAAGGCATCGCTATAAAAGACCTGGACAACGGATTGGCAGAGCCGGCTATAAATCGTGGGGGTCTTGGGTTCGGTTTCGTGAACATCAAGCTGAAGAGTGAAAGGGGATCAGGGTATCGGTTCCTCATAGAAATCTACGCGTGAAAATATAACGTATAGTTTTAAGGAATTTATGTGAAATGTGTGTGTTCTCTAATTAAATTGTTTATATATATAAGTATATAATTTTTTTTCATAATTAACAACGTCGTGGTTAGAAATCAAATCTAATAACAAAATCGAAGTCGGAAGGATATTTTATGTAAGTTTACTTAGAATTATGACTTCGATTTTGTCCTTAAAACCCTGATTAGCTGCCTTTACACATGATGCCCGGTGGTCTAGCGGTTTAGCACAACTCTTTATTTCCGATGGTCGCGGGTTCAATTCCTCGCACGGTTCAAACAATTGCACCCATAATATGATTGTTTGTATCGGTTTTGGTGTTTTCCGTATATATTATGTATGTATTTAAAAAAATATATATATTTATAGTTGCCTAGTTAGTACCCATAACACAAGCTCTGTGTAGCTTGGGACTAGATGGCGCTGTGTAAATTGTGCAGTCATTATTATTAATTATCATCGGTTTTCATGATAGGTGTAACACTGAATTCAGATAAAGCCTGGGCAACGCACTAGTTATAAATGAGAATGTTAGTTTGTAAATTAATCATTTGTTACGATCGACAATTATTACTTAGAAATATACTATTTAACATCAACAAACACAAAGAGGCTATCACATGAGTTGAAACAGGTCAGTAATAAGAAATCCCAGGAATCTGGCATAGTCAGTTGTTATATATACTCTATACATATAAATAAAATTGGAGTGTCTGTTTGTAATATTGAAATAATCGTTTTTTACTACATGCACATGAATATAAATACGGTACATACACCAAAATAACATTTTTTACGATTTTTTCTGTCTGTCTGTTTGCTTCGGTTAATCTCTGGCTGGACCGACCGGCTTTAACGGGACTTTTTTGATAGGTAGCTGATGTAATAAGGAGTAACTTAGGCAAGTTTTATTTTAGATAAATAAAGTTATATTCCACGCGGACGAAGTCACGAGTACAGCTAGTATATATACCTACACACATACACATATACGCACATGTACACACACATATATTACATTGTAATTAAATGTTTAGAATTAATAGGAAATAAACTGTACCGAGGTAGACTTTACACTATGTAACAACAATAATAATTGGTCACCCAGTCGTCGAGATTCGACCAAAATAAAAAGATACAAAAAGATTTTCCAACCAGCAATACACAGAACAATTTAAAAAAAGAATAGATATATGCATTTTTTTTTTAATCTTTCGTGTTTAATATACATTATTTATATTATTAACCGGGTCTTATCACGAACTAATTTTACAACTAGGTTGCACTGTTGTTGTTTATATGCATGTTGTGTTAAATACATGGGAGTGTGTGTTTTTGTTTGATTTAATGTACTTTTTATGCACAATTAAAAAAAATATAAATAAACTATAAGTGTGCGAAAATGCATACTACTGCCTTCGGGCGATTTTCGTAAAAAGGGGTAAAAAGTATATAATATATCATTATATTAATACCTGAAGCAAAATATCTTTGGACAGGTCACACAGCGCCATCTCGTCCTATAAGCTGAGCAGAGCTTGTGTTATGGGTACTAGACTATTGATTGAAATACATACATACATGTTTTGTAAATACATACACAATATACATGGAAAACCAGGCCAATACTCATAAATACAAATGTTTGCACCATGCGAGAAATCGAACCTGCGACCATCGAAGTAAAGCGGTGTGCTGTACCGCTAGACCACAGAGGCTGTCAAAATACACTGTAAATTCGTGTGAAGTCGGGTAGTGAGATATATATAAAACTAGCTGTCCTGGCAAAGGTTGTTTTGCCAAATATAAATTAATAACGCTATAAAAAAATAGGGGTTGATGATAGAAGGGTGAAAAGAAATAGAAATAGAAATAGAAATCGAAATCGGTCAAGCCGTTTCGGAGGCGTATGGGAACGAAAACTGTGACACGAGAATTTTAAAAAAAAAGATAATATTTTAATATATTCAATAAAATTATGTTCATAGTGTACTCTAAATAACAAATAGTTCTCATTATGTTATGATAATAATTTACAAAACAAACCTTCGAATATACGCCACCCAGAGCACACTTATCACAACACCTCCCACGAACTCCCGCAAGTATTACATTATCCAATATTACATGAATGCAAAATATACCGAGCGAAATGTGGTCATGTCAAGTTTTTTTTCGGACTATTCCAATGCTGTCGGCAGCAGCTGGCCTTTACAGCTTCACCGGACGATAGGGGGCGAATTCTGATGGCACTCCAAATCCGCGGAAGGTCTTATGGTGCAGCTGAAGTCCAACTTCCGCCTGACGGATACGACTTTAGTCTGAGGGCACCGTTAGAGGTTCGAACCTTGGCTCTAGCCGTCGTAATTTCGATCCCCGTTTGAATTGGATGGGAAATCGATCAGAAGTGAGAAGTGTGTTCATGACAATGTTAGCTGACAATGACTTTGACTACCACATCTGGGATAACAGTGGTGAGGAAACACGAGTTTTGTATAGCTCTGTAATAACGTCCTATTGGGACGTTATTACAGAGTTGGATAAATTTTCATTTCTACGCTGTATTTTTGACTTACTTAATATTATGTTATTATGATTCATTATGATATTGGATAAAATACCCTCTTAAACCACATTATTTGTATATCGTACACCTGATCTTTGACCTCTCTCTCTGACATAACCTCGTCTTTGTCCTGCATGATTACTCATACTAGTTGTGTATTCTACATAAACAACAGTGTTGCCAACTTCATGAATTTACCTCAAATACTGGTAAATTTGACATTGTTAGGTAGCTAGTGGAATTTTAGTCAGCCTATTAAAAATTAATTAAATATATTTATAAATTTAGGAACATTTCACTCGATTAGTTACTCATTTGTAAAATTTTAGTTCAGTAGATCACTATATATTCATTCTTCTTGTGATGAATATGCGTTCCGAATGAGTGGTAGTATAAAATAATATCTAATAGCTTGTAAAAAATAATAGCTTGTATTCAGTTTATTTGAATAAATATTGTTTCTATTTCTAATAAACTTTTTAGGTAAAAATAGATTTTATTTTTGTATATCGATTCGTATTATTACAATTAAATTAAATAATAATTTATTTTGGCAGAAATATGATTACATATTTTTTAACTATCGTTTTTAGTGCCCATTATTAATATAGTTAAACGGTTTATAACACGAACCATAAAATTATGGTTATATTACTGATACGCGCAACTTTCTTTGGATCCCACATCCGCCGTTTTTGTCAGTTTGCAATTGTAATTACATAAATAAATGCATAACGCTTACCTCTTAGATCTGTGTCTATGTAAAATTCACTATACTTCTTATATTTGTGTCTATTTTTAATACACTATATGGGAGTATTTGAGTGGTTAATGATGACGACCTAGCTGACAACACTGGTAACCTCATCCAACAGTTCGCACTTAGCACGGACACAACAGCACGTCACAAAATGTATTTAAAAACCATAATAGTGATATGTGCGTTTTTAAGCATAGCACATGGGAAAAGCGTGTTCGTAGGTCAAGTGTACAATCAAGGAGTGGTTAATAAAGTATACGAAAAAACGGTAGAAACCGCGGGACTACCATTTCTTAAAAGGGAGGAAGAAGTGTACTTCGAGTATCCATCAAAAGATCAGACGATTAAAGGAATCGCTATAAAAGATCTCGATGGAGGATTGGCGGAGCCGTCCATAAACCGCGGTGGACTTGGATCTAATTTTGTTAACATCAAGCTGAAGAGTCAACGGGGATCTGGGTTGAGATTCCTCATTGAAATATATGTATGAATTGAAGACTAACTTGATTCAAGTGTTGAAAGAATACTATGTTTTTGTGTATTAAACGTACGTAATTTTATGTGCATTTTATTTAATTGTGATGGCCTTGGTCTAGCAGCCTTACTTGCGATGGTCGCGGATTCCACGCACTCATAATCAAGAATACAAACATTTGTATTCTTCATTATGAGTGTTTGTATCGGTCTGGGTGTTCTCTATGTATATATGTATATATTTTTTGATGATAATGGAATGGTGCACCCGCCTGCGCTAACGGTTTACGCTGGCGGGACACCAGTAGAGGATGATAGGTTGAATATGAGGTCAGGTCAGTTAGCCCATCGTGACAAATTCACTAGGAATTTATCAGGATGGTTTCCAGGGAGAACCGCGTGGAGGTCAACCTGACTTGGTACATTGCTAGCAATGGGGTCATAAATCCACATAACTAACAATCACCTTTCCCTTCCTTTCTATGTATATTATGGATGTATCTATAAAAAATGTATTTATATAAGTTGTCTCGTTCCCATGACCCTGAGGTCGGGGAGAAGGGAATTGTTAGTAATGGGGTCAAATGTCCTCATTGCTAGCAATGTACCATGTTAGGTCCACATCCATGGAAACCATCGTGACAAATTCCTGATGAATTTGTCATGATGGGCAAACTGACCTGACCTCATTGTCATCTTATCATTCTCCACTGGTGCCCGCCAGCGTAAACCGTTAGCGCAGGCGGGAGCACCTTCATGGCCTTCGTATTTTAGCTATTTGAGGTAACAATAGGCTAATTTCTGGTCTTTTGTTTGATCACTGATTGGATTGAAACGAGCACTAAATATCACAGAAAACTACCTACAAATATATTACTGATAATTACTTTCGGATTGCTTAAAGCGTTTCTAAGAAAAGATGGATAGATTGTGTGAAAGATGATATGAATAAAAGAAGAGTATGTTTAGATATGACGACCGATAGAGAGCGATGGAAGCGAATGACCTACTGCGCCGACCCCAAATAATGGGATAAAGGCAAGGCAATGATGAAATGCACATAGAACAAAGACGTAAATACGATTTTGTTTTTACTTTTCTAATATTTTTCTTAAAATAACTTGATTTATTTTTTAAGTGTTTGGAACACTTAAAAAAATGGTTGCAATCTGAAAGTATAGAGTAACATTCTTTTTCACAAGGGAATTACAGTTCTTTTATTGATTA